AATATTTATTTTTAAAAAATTTCACAGTTGAAAAGTCGAATTAATTATAATTTTTTAAGTTTGTAACTAAAATTTTTTAATTGAATCAAAGAAAAATTTCGCAAATTTACGGTGTTACAATTGATTTTAAGAGATCATAGTTATATAATGTTTGAAGCAAAGAACAAACATATATTTTATACCCGTCATTTTCTCGTCTCTAAATATTCCTGGAGGATGACGCAATGATTGTAGAAAATTTTTTCCTAAATATGAAACATTTACACAGTTGGCGGGAAAATGATGATTTTTCATGATTTTCAGCAAAAATCAGGGACTTTTTTCTTCGTCTTTCTTAAAACTATGATCCGCATCATGCCTTTCTCCACTTTATTAATTTACTTGTAATTTTCAAATAATTACACATGTTTACCAATAATTACCAATGTTGCAAATTTTCATTGCAATGCAACTATATTTATATTCAATTAAGGTATTTTTCTGTACTTTCAGAATTTGAATACCAAAATTTTTTTTTAATTTCTGGTCTAAAAATTGCACTTTGGACAGAATTTTTTTTCCGAACCTTTTCTCCTAAATTTTTTAACAGTTTACTCAATCATACAAGTTATTAAATTGGGCAAAATTATCATAATTTTATAATTCTTTTAAAGCCATTGCAGAACCAGACAAAAATTTAAAAATATACTTTACTTTATGCATTAAAAACCTAAAAAAAAATTTAAATAAAAAAAAATTCTCAGAACACCAATTTTTGGTTAAAATTACAATGCTTATGGTGATATTCTAAAAACTTAAGAAATTTTAATTTATATGTATTAAAGTAATTTAATTGTAAATAGACAACAAAGGTTTATAATCAGAAATTTTACATTTTAAAACAATCACAGCATCAAATAACATTATTATGAAAAATTTTAAAAATATATGTTCATTTTTTATTTTATTTAATGAAACCATAAAATAAAAAATATACGAGTCTTATAGACTATTAAATTCACATTCCATTTGAAATGGACCAAAATCTCTAATGGACATTCTGTTTGAAATAGGCCAAAAAAATTCAGTTGCTGCCATGTTACAGATTTTTACGATTTTTTTTAAAGGAAAAAGTGCATAATGAAGAGACTAAAGTTTTTAAGACCAATACTAATTAAGCGGCCACATTGAAATTAGGCTCAATTTAGTAAATGGGGTAATTAGAAAAATGTGGCTCCTATCTATCTATTAACAATGAAATTTTTTTTCCTTGCGAGCCACTTTTATCAATTTTGGTGTTATCGGAAAGGAAAAAGGGAAAACTATTTATTAAAATGCTGAAAATATATTTAAAAAATTTAATTTAATTTTTTTTCTTCAAATTTCAAACATTTTTTTTACAGGCAAATCACAATTTATACTATCTTAATTCTTCTTCATAGCGTTAAATATGACACTTTTCAACATAATAAAGGGTATGATTTGTCATTAAAAAACTAAAAAGCGGGTTTTAGCCAAAATACTTGAAGATTTTTCATAGCCCCCCGAAGAAAAAAAACATTTTTATCTGATTTTTTCTTATAATGTTAAATATCACATAATACAATATAACAAAAGCTAAGAAGGCGTTTTTTAATTTGTATATTCTATATGCCTGAATCATGTACATAATTAGTGGATGGTACTTTAGTCTGAATAACTGAATTTCGCGATTTTTATTAATTGAAACAATAAGTTGTTGGATCTATATCTTCCGATTACTGAAATAGATTATTTTAAAATCCGCATTTGTACTAGTAGAAAATGGTATGCTCTGAACATTAACAAAAATCTAGAATATCAAGACAAAGTACTAAAAATCTGAGCAAAATATTTTTTTTAACGGGAATATCAAGACAACTACAAAAGATATACAGATAAAGTTTTTGGGACTTTCCTAGCTATTCAGATGAAAACTAGAGATTATCTGCAAGTATTGTGCAAAACAAAATTAGAAATTCAATAAAACTGGAATTGTTTTATTTGGAAATCAATTTTAAAATAAACATTTATCAACAAAGATTACAATATAATTGCATTCAAACAAACAAGAAAAAACTTAAAAGTGATAATACTGCACATAATCTTTTACCCATCACACACACCATTAACTACACGCCAAAATAATGCATAAGAATTTAATATGGTATTCACTAGTTTATCAATATGACTAGACAAAGAAATGCACTCAATAATTTTAAAACAGAAAACAATGTTTAAACTAAAGAAAATGGAAACAATGTTTACAACAAAATTGTATGTATAAAAATAAATGCTTTAAGTAATACATAGCATTAAAACTAAAGATCCTTAACATCATGAAATATACATTTTTCTAATATAGATTAAGTCCTTAAAATAAATCAAAATTTACCAAAATACATATCACATAATACAAAGGGCTTGGAACAGTATAATGATAAGTTACAATAATACAAGATACCATTTTTTAAGAAACTCTCAATAATGAGTGTGTTTCTGTGCATTGCATTGTTATAAAGTGGAAATTCCAGAAAATTGTAAAGTACCCTGAACTAAACCTAACTGAAATAATTCAATCAAACAGTTTGATGAAAAAAACTTATTGATATAATGAATTAAACCCTTCATATGTAAACAAATGATATTTCCAGTTCTTTTAAAATTAATATAATTCATTAAAAATTAATATAAAAACTGAAATAATAGTAATTAAAATATTAAAAGTAAAGGTTAATACTGTATTAGGAACATCTATTTGTACAATTTAAATGTATAATTCAACAAAAAATTATCAAGACAGTTACTATAAGAATAGCTAGTATTTTGTGTATAAATCGAAAACGGTAGAAAACAATAACAAAGTTCTATCTACCTCTTATTGACAAAGAAACTAAGAATTTATATATATATATATATATATATATATATGAGCTTGAAGATTTCTAGTTATATGTTATCTGAACATAAGATAAAAGCAATGCTAAAACCCATGGAATCTACACCATTCAAATTTTACTAAGAAATGCAAACACAAAATCTAAAATTTAATTATAAAAATTTTTTCTGGTGAAATCTTATTTATTCCTAAAGTAAAAAAAAATAAATTCTGAATTTCTGGAATTCTGCAGACTTTATCTGATTGGGTTTTAAAAACAGAAATGGTATTTTTTTTTCAAGTATATTTAACAAATAATAATACATATGTTAATTTCATAGCCATATGTTTAAAATTCTCCTATTTAAAAGACATACAGATTAAATTATTAAGTGTTTTATCAATTTTAAAATATTAAAAGTAAGTAACAATTTACAAATATTAGAAATGTTTATAAATTGTTAGATATTGAATTTCTAGCTATTAGATCAAATGAAAATCCTCAACAGCAGTTAAAAAATGTAAATACTCCCAAGAAGGATAACAATTTGAAAGATAAAACTTCCAAAATTATTATATTCATCATAAATAATTATGACCACATTCTTCTCGAAATCTTTAAATTTTATAATTCTTAATTTAGAGCTTTAGAAATGAAAAGTTTGCACACTAAATTAGATTATAAAAAGAAATTGAAAACTAATTTCATTAAGAGTGGAAAAGAATTTACATCTTGATTCATTTATTTAATTAATTAAAGTGACCATAGCAGTAAAAAGAATGAGTAAGTTGCAAATAATTTTGGAAATAACTGATTAAATGTTGTTGAGCATTTTAGATACTAAGCAAGAAAGCAATCGAGTTTTACCTCTAATTATCAAATCTTTCATTTTTATGACTGGAAATCCCCATTAGAGTTACAGAAGTTTTAAAAAATAATCTACTTCACACACAAAGCAATTTAAAATAATTTAAATACTATAAAATACTTACTGACAATGTCAAGTCAAAAAATCATAACAAATAATGAGAGCAAATGAGAAAACTCATTAATGCATATGAGAAAATTCAATTATGAAAATTAAACAATTTTGACATGTTAACAATTGCATGTTCCTAGACATAGCTAATGTGAAATCCTAACGATTGCAAGTTCTTAGGTTTAACAAATGCAAAAATATAATTGCAGCTAGTTTTTTTAATAATAAATGGAATGCATAATTAATATAAATTAGGAGCATTTCTTCAGATACTTTTCAAGTAAAAATGTGCACGAGTTTTCCATCATTGATGGAGTAAAAAAAATCCTCATTAAAATAAAGCATTGATAAAATAAAAGTATAAACAGAATAAAATGGGTCACATCAAATGAAAGATAAATTATAAAATTTATTATAATGTAAATCAACATAAGGTTTCATTGAATTCTTACTCAGTTTTGGAATACAAAGAGTAGGGGAAGAAAGTTAACAATATGTTTATGAGCATATGTTTGTTAATATGCAGAAGCTTTTTGTCTGCATATGTCTTATTGTCACAAACAAACTATTATGTAATCTGAAATTCATTGAGTAACAGCTAGTTTTTAATAGACGATGGTTTGAATTGGATGTACAGTTTATAAGCAATCAATAAATCAGCTAAACTTAAAATAGTAAAATTAAATGATGCAAGAGAAGAGTGAAAAAAATGTAAAATGGTAATCATAAGGAAACCAGACAACTCAAAGTTGTGAAACTGTGTTCACTAAATAAAACAATTCACCAGGAATATAATAGGCAATATCATAAAACCTTTAGACTCATTGAAAAAGGTAAAAACATAAATCTTCAACTCCTGCAAATCATTTTAAAGTCACAATAAACAATGTGAATGAAATTAGAAAGGATGTAATATTACAATCATTGTAAAATAATAAAACTTTTTAAATTAGTCAAGTTTTTACTCATAATAATTAGTAAAAAACGTCATTCTTTTAAGAAAAAGTCTTTTTAAAAATATATATAAAATATTATCATCAAATTAAATAAAGAATGATAAAAAAAAAAACATTTTGAATTTTTCACTAAAATTTTGCAAAAGCTAGCCATTTTATCATTGTAAAAATAAATAAAAATTAATTTTTAGGACATATATGTTTCATTTATTTTTCTATAAGACTAGAACAGGATTTAAAATATCACAAACACAAAAGAAAAAAAAATGACTAATAAAATGAACACCTTACTGCAACAAATTGATTTAAAGGACTAGAATTGAACAAATTTGTTAAAAATAATACAATAAGCTAAATTATAAGATATTCCACTAATAAGAATTAACATTAAAAAAAAATACTATTTTCATAACACATTCTAATCAATTGAAAAATATTTCTTAATTAAAGATTTATTTTATATTAACTCATTTCTATTTGATATTATTTGCACAGTCATTGACCAAATGCTATCATTTTTTGGAGTTAAATTTTTGTCATTTGGCTACTGGTGACTAGCTGCAAAATGACAAAATTATTTTGTTTCTCTTATGGCACAATTATATAATTACCTACATATAAGTTGTTATATATATATATATGGTAATGCCAACATAAAAATAATTGCAAATAAAAAAACAACTATTTAACAATTAAAAAATTTCAAATTTATGAAGTGAATATGAAACATTATTATGGCAAGAAGCTATTGCAAGACAAAAAATGTGATAACAAATAAAATAATATTTTCATACAATAATATTCACTTAAAATCTGATGCAGTCAACAAATAATATGAACATGCCAAATGTTTTTGATATATAACATCATATACATAATAATTTGAAGATCAAAATTTTTAATTTAACAGAAATTCTTTTGTAAGTGCATAAAATATAATTAGATGATTAAGTGACAATAGGGTGAACTTTCAAAATTCTTTTACACTTTCTTGTAGGATAAATAAAGGCATTGTGTTTTGTTAAAAAATGTTCACATTTAGTATATTTTAAAAAAATTTCACTTCCAATAGTAAACGAAAATAAAATTAATAAATCAGTATATTTCTTTTCTTTTAAAAACATAATTAATACTTATTAAGAAAGAAAAGCTGTTTTGCTTCTAAATTCAAATGACACATGAAAAACAGTTTCAAATACAAATTAATTTCAAATTAATAAAATTTCTCTTGATAGTACTAATATAGATAAAACTTTATAAAGTAATAACTTGAAAATAATAAATAAATAATTTAAAGATAAATATATTTAACAAAAGAATAAAAATAATGACGATATAGCAATTAAGCACACATAATATCTAGAGGCAATATATTTTACAGCAAACATTTAGGTCGTCATTTTTTTCATTAACAAAGATTTCACATATTTTTAGCTTTTAAAATATGATATATGAATCAAACAATTTCAAATTGATAAAATTAAATTGATTGATTATTTAAGAATATAAAACAATATCCTACAATCATATCATTTGCACATTGATAAACTAATTTTAGACAACATAAGATTTTTATTAATCAGTTCGGTGATGTTAAATAAATTTCTCTTACAGATTTTAAAACATTAATTGAGTTGACTCATGCATGATTGACAATAAGAAGAATGATAATGTAATAGTTTTTTTTCAAAAAAGACAATAAAAATGCATTTAATAATTGAAATGCAAGATTGCTGAGATAGTTTATATCATGCAAAGGAAATATATAAATTGAAACAGATAGCCATTACAAAACATTTGTTTACAATTCAGTAAAGAGCAAATTGAGTATATTTATAAAAAAATATGCTAATCTGTTTAAGGTCTCTAATAAAACGTTATTAGCAATTAAAATCATCAGCTTGTTTCTTTCCGATCAAATCAGGATTTGCAAAAGGATCTAAATCAGCAAATAAATTGTACCAACTAGACATATCCTTCTTTTCCTAAAAATAAATAAATAAAAATAGAAAACATTTATTTTCTTTGATTTAGTATGGCTTTAGTGCAAATAGAGGTGTAATAAAAAAGTTGAAATTAAAATAATAGTAAGTTAATCAAATAAATTTAACTCAAAATTCAGAAAAAGCAACTCCTGTGTCAGCTAAAGTACATAGTATATTTATGAGAACAAAATAAAATTTATATGGACAGATGAAAACTAATATAAGACTAATATTAGGTCACGATTAATAGTAAGAAAGGTATGACATGTATACCACAGTAAAAACTCAGTGACAACGTAATTTTAATATTATTTTGAACTATTTTTTTGCAATTTTATTTGTTTAAAAATTATACATTATAAGGAGATTAATAGTCACCTTCTTATTCTTGCCAGCAGTAGAAGAAGTATCATTTGACTTTGGTATGCTACTAGGAGCATTAGGAATAATTCCTGAGTTATCTAAGTAAATAACAATCATTAAATTTATTCTGTTAAGAAAATAATACAATAAAACACATTTTAACAGATTTTAATGCACACAAAAGATATTCCTGTAACTAAACCAAAAGAATAAAAACCGAAGAAGAGTTGCATTGTGCAATGTAGCCAGGCATAAAAAAATTTCTGTTGAACAAGAAGACATTTTTTACATTCATGCACATAAAAATTAAAAACAAAAATTATATTAAATTGTGTCCTTTATGTGTAGGTCTGATGTGATTGTTCTCAATTTAATAACATATTTGCATTAAATCTTAGTTAAAATAATCACCTCTTTCAAAGCTGAATTTAAATTATATAAGATGCACAAATGGTGATTTAGAATAAACTAGTAACTGCTTTCGGAAAATAGCTAAAACATTATTGAAAATATATGCAGTCTTAATTGTTTCAGTGGTCTTTCCTTCTCATTAGCATAGCAATATATAAATGCTGAATTATGATCTAAGAATGTTGGTCGGAATCTACCCAAATTGTTGTAAAAAAGCTGATTATTATTTATTTTTCATCATTTTTTTTATTTGGCACCCAAGCTTTAACGGGTTTTACATATTGCACTATGTTAAAAGATTCAATCTAAATGCACATTAACAAAGGCCTTGAAATGATAAGACAGGAAAACTAAAAATATTTTTTTAATTCTTTCTAGTTCTAAGTTTTTTCACTGTACTGCTGTTGAAGATGTTACTAGCATCAGAACTATCAAACTAAATCCTAAAAGGTCAAATATTAAGAATAGATAAAAGTTTTCCCTTTACTTTCATTGAAACAATTATGAATAAAGGAGAAACCAGTACATTTGATAGAATTTAACGGATAATGCTGACGGAATATTTAAAATTATTTAAAAATTGCTAAAAAAAATTGTTTTTAAGATAATTAATGCAGGACAGATGATACATGACAGATTAAGATAATAAATACACAACAAACATTCATAAAAATTTAAAATCTAACCTTTTGGCATGTCTATTAGCTGTGATGGGAGATAGTATGTAGATTGGCCAGCAGCAGTCATATCAAAAATAAATTTATTAAGATTGCTCTGCTCGCTTAATGGAGAATTTGGAAGCAAATTATCTTCTGAATTTAGAATGCTATCATTAGAAAAAGTAAAATCAGGCTTTGCATCTAAAATTTCATTCAATAATTCTAAATCATTCTTATCTACTTCCTCACCACCCAATCCTGTAAGTAAATCGGAAGAAAATCCTGAAAAAAAGTAAAGAAAATAAGTTCATATTTAATTCATGAGATAAAACTTTAAAATACAGAAATAGACATAATCTATAATATGCTGATTAGTTTTGGCAGACTCAAATTCTATATTTGAATAAAGTTCAACCTGTTTCAAACGCCAGATCAAGTTTTCCAAAAAAAAAAAGTACAGAAAACAGCAGGTTGCGTAGCCAAATTTTTTAACAAAAATAAGCACCTTTTAAGCACGTTTCAAGCCCTCAAAAAATATTTTGAAGTGACGAAGACGATGGCGCGTCAAGAACGATGAAATTAACAAGAGAAATGAAACTTTCTATCACTAATAGAGTGAAAAAATTGACAATGTTTAGTTGGTCCCCGTAATCAGCAAAAATTCGGGAGATTTTTCGATTCTATTACAGAGGGCGAAAAATGAAGTCTGAAATTGAGAATCTCTTGCAAAATGCAGCAGGGTTGCACATGAGAGTAAAAAATTCTTACCACTGAATCCAGCTCAGTATACGCAAGTGCGGACCCGCATCAACCATGTAAAACGAATAGTGTTTTCATACACTACACATCGGCAGTACACCGAAATAGATTGGGGTTAAATTAATTGTGAAAACGTTGAATAGGAATGTCTTTTTGCATAATTTGTGGTGAAAATCAACATGGTAAAGAAAAATATCACATTTCGGAAAAGGAAAAAGTAAGCATTTTTTAAAGACACCCATGGAAAAAAGCACCTTTAAAGGCTTTTACAGAACGAAAATCGAAAATATGCACCTTTAAGCACTTCTTAAAAACGCCACGCACCCTGTACAGCCATTAGAATTATATGAAATTCAACATATATAATTCATGAAAAGCAGATTTTATTGAATTATTAATGCAAAAAGGTACATATTACTTTTTTATATGTCAGGAGTTACACAGTTCATTTATAACTTTTATCTTTTTTCATTATTTTCAATTGAAAATACATATTGTCTTAAATATTTCAGGCTCCTTTATATTTAATTTGTATTGATTCAATAGAGAAAAAAATTCAAGTAATATCCATTTTATAAAAAACAATTGGTACTAATGCTATAAGTTGTAATATGGTTTATAAAAATAATGCTAAAGTATGACATTTTCATGTGCACCAACAATCAAGGGGGAAATTACTCCTTAAATGCTACTAAAATAGCACTTGAATATAATAAATATTCATTTGCATGTTAAATGAAGTTGAAAAGTAATGTAAAAACACATTTAAAATCTTCAAATTATTATATTTTTTTTAATCATGTTACATATTTATCGAAGAAAAGTGGGTATTTTTTAGTTGTTTTTGACAAATTAATAGTTAAAAAAAGGTTTCTATGGTATACATTTTAATGGTTTAATTTGGACTTACAATGGATTATTTAATCTTTCATTTAAAATTAAAATAAAACAATTTAACCCCCCCCCCAAAAAAAAACTAGTTTCAATGTACTCAGTTATTTTCCTAAACCTACTTATTTCTCTACAGACAAAAGCACTTAAAGACAAAAAATTGCTTTTTTTTTCAAAAGGTTTTAGACTTGAGAGCAGAACTGGAGCTTCATGCAGATATTGTTCAGAGAATATTAAAACCCTGCAATTCCTTGAACCATGCCAAGATAATTACTTAACGATCTTATTCCTTAAGACCAGCTATAACCAGTAGCGGGACTAAATAGTTACAGGTTTATACTGACAGAACTATCACCAAACGTTAGAACAGGAATATACTCATTCGTATTTTCTTTTCTGTGCCTCTCAGAAATCAAAAAACCATGTTTGGCAGAAAAATAATGGCTGTTTATGTAGCACTGGAACAACATACCCCCGCCCTAACTGACTTTCACAATAAAGTAATTTTACTGTGGTAGTTTACCCCAAAGCCGCCATTCAGACTATTTAGTTAAAATGTCTGTTTTAAAATATCTTAGTGTGTCTTTAAATATCTACATATGTCTGTCTTAAAATATCCTTGATTGTCACATCTTCCTTGAGCCTGAAGGATGACAAATTATCCTACAGTGACTCCCAAAACATGCAGTATTTTTATTTTTTTATCAAACAGGCATTCATACTGTTTAAGAAGGTCAGGTAAATAATTCAACAACCAAATACACGCAACTCTTTGCATTGAGACTAAACGTAAAGTGTTACTCACTTTCAGCATCTCTTTTAAAGTCGAACATTTTCGACCATAATATTTTGATATTTCGACCATAATATTTGTCGCAAAATTTAGACCTGTAGTGACGCAAAACTGCCACGTACACCACAACAGCATTTTTGACAGCCTAAATTGCCTACTCTATGAAATAATACTAAAGTTCTAGACACTTACTAATAAAACAACGACAGTTTTGTTGTGTTTCAAGTTTATTTTTCTGTAAGAGTTTGTCCTTTTCTCTTGTCATTGGCAATAAAAAAAAACATGTTTACTTATTATATCACATAATAATATTAAGTGTCAATAAATTAATATTTTAAGGTAGCTATAACCAAATGCATTTAGGTTATATAATATTTACTTGGTTGGTTATGCACTGCTTAAAAAAAAGTAGAAATAAAAATTTAAAGTTGAATCATACTTCTGGAGTTATCTTCTGTAGTAGGAGTTTGCAAAGAAGATAGGCTAGATTGAGAAGAATTTAAAAGTTCATCTAAATTAACTAATGGAGAATCATTGTTTTCTGCATCCTTTTTTCTTGTGTTTTTAGACTTATTTTTTGTTTTTTTCCCAGAAGAAGACTTAGATGTTTTTTTCTTATCAGAGGATTTATCATTTGCAGTTTTTGAATGTTTTTCTTCATCATCATGGTATTCAGATTCAAAAAAGAGTAATCTAAAAAAGAAAAAGAACAAATTTTAAATAACAGCTTTAAAAAATATATGGTACTGTTTAAGAGAAAATGGCAAACCAAACACACCACAGGCAAATTTTAATAAACATTTCAAGACTGGTTTAAAATATAAGTTCAAGAGTTTTCAAAATGTTCTTCAGAGAATATATGATTTTTTTCTCCTTCAATTTAATGAGAATACAGAATTATGGTTTGCCTTGAGAAATTTCTTAAAATCAAAATGTCATGCCACAATATGTCCTTGAATTATATTTAAACATATGAAAGTAGCTATAATTTTTTTTTTTACACTAAACATTGACTTTACACTGATATCATTGAAAGCAAAAACTAGTCAAGTGTTTTTTCAGTAACTCAGAACTGATTATCTGTTGTCAATTAAATTATCCATATGTATTTTAAGATGTGTTAAAGTTGACATTGTTTAATACATTTAATTATCTACACGTATTAAAGTTGACATTGGCCAGCTCACTGAGTTACAAAGTAATTAAGTCAATTATGGTTTGAATCTCAATCTGGATATGCATGCTTATTTTCTTTCTTTCTATATTATGTGTATCTTTCTAAAGGAGATAATGGGAAATTGTATTGAATAAAAAAATGATAAAATTAAAAGTAATAAAATAACTTCCAATGGAAACATTATTTTTACAAAATAAAAGAGACAAAAAGAGCAATAAACAGTAATTTTGGAATAAGACCAAATAATTCATTTTAAAAATAAACAACGAAAAAAAGCGAGAGCTTAAGTTTTTTTAAATATAAAATTTATAAATGACTGAGTCTCAGAATACTATTTAAAATAAAGACCTATAGAGGTGAATTTTAAACAACACAGAATTTGCAAGGTAAATGTAATAGAACCTTAAGTCAGCTTGGATGATATGCAGTAAAAACAGCAAAAACCAATGAAATTTTTAAAAAATCATGTTTCTTAAAACAAATGACAAAATATCCCTATGTTACAGATATCTATAGATAAAAATAATTAAGCAAATATAACTGAGGAAATTTGTATGACCTTTTACAATAAAAAACAATTTTTATTTATTTTTGAAAAAAAAAATATCTTAAGTAATTTTAAGTAAAATATGCACCCTGTTCTAACAAAATTTAAAAAAAAAAAAAATATTAGTTTATTTAAATTCTAACAAAAAGAACATACATAATAGAGGGAAGTATAGAAAACATATCTGACACTTTCAAACCTTAAGATAAACTTACACATCTTTATCATCTGAAGGGACTAATCCATGCTCTTCAAGTAAAGGTATTGTGTTGTTCATTTCTGATGTTTCTTCTGCCAGCTTTTTACTAGTTTCAGTAAGTTCCTAAAACAAAAATTAAGATTATAGAATTAAGTAATATTTTTAAAGTATTTAACAAAATTATTAGCTTCTTGAAATAGCAATTCAGTGCTTTTTACACCCTAAACTGGAATCTACTCATGTTATTCAAAGTAAAAAAATTGTATAGTGGACAAATTTCAATCCAAGGATAGCCCTCAAAGAGTTTATGGGATCAAACTCCATTTAAAAGTAAAAAACTTAAAGAAGTAATGCAGTAATCCCCAACCTAATAATCTCACCCCACAAGTCTGTGGATGCTGGTCAAGAATCTTAGCAAAGATAAATTTTAATGTCTAACACCAGTTTTTTGGTGTGATTCGTTTCTCATTCAGATATTCATTGCTCGTACGTACTTTGTTTTCGTCAATCAAATCGACTTCCATCGTTAAAATGCATTAATCTTACAATGCACCACCTGAAAAGGACACGAATAAACGAAAAACAAATATGTGCACGGACAAGTGCAAGAAAGTACAAAAAAAAAAGAACTTGCGGAATCGAGAGTACTATAATGTATGGATCTGCAAATTCAACAAGCGTCACACCAAATAGGAAAATGCCGGATCACATATCGACAGCCGATATGGAACTGGTTAGAACTCAACAACTAAGAGCCCCATATTTTCTGCTGTACAGAGGAAGCCACGGTTGTCAAGGTAACGGTGCACCTGCTGAAGCTCCACTCATTATCTCCAGAAGATCATTCTTTCTCAGGCTACTGCAGGCAAAAACAGTTTGTCCAAAGTACAGCTATCATTTAAGCAGCTTGGGTTTTGGCTGTTACGTGTGTATGGAGGGGGGTTCTGCAATAAGTGGATCTCACAAAAAACTAAGTTTTTGTATCATTGTCACTAAAAATGGAAGGGAAAACGCACATTTCTGCTTTTTTGTGGAGAATTTTCATTCCTGAATGAGATACATTGTCAATTAGCTAATTGAATACAATAAAGTTATTTTCTTATTGTCATATGCATATAATAAGTATCTATTTATCATTAATATCATTAATGTTTACTTGCATATTTCATAGTCAGTGGGCTTCTAAGATTCTTTTACAAAATTGGTATTTTCTACAGCCAGGATTGGCTGATTTAAAAGAAATGTTTTTCGTCTTCATCAAAAAACCTTAGCCTGTTTTTTTATTAATTAAATTTTCTATTATTTATGCAAATTTCTTCTGTTTGATTATAACCAAATGAAATAAAATGGATTAAAATTTCTCGCAATTACTTGGCACTTGATTACTTTATACAATTTAGAGTTTAATTTACAATGGTAATCAGTATTACCTTAAATAAACATAAATCTGCAATTTTTAAATGATTACAGCAAATTGGGTATCTGCGTAAAATAAATTAATGTGTGCAAATTGAAGATAACGTTATAATGTCTTTTAAAAATGCTTAAGTTAAAATATTCCAGCAGTAAAATATTGTTAGTTTTTAAAATTAGTTTAAATGTAAAAGAATTTAAGCTTCACAAACTTTAGTTTTAACAACTAGTTAAAGACATATTGTTTGCTACAATCAAAAGAAAAATGGAAATGGGGTGATTTTCCAAACTTAATTTTACTGGTTTAATTTTAGAATTATTTTCAGTAACCAGTGTAACAAATTTATATTGTAAATATGCAGTATGTTTAGATACAGAACTGTAGTATTTTCAAATAGCATTTTCATATTATATTTAAAAATAATAAAGAAAAAGTTTAAAAATAATCCTAAAAGTATTTTTTCATATTTAATGCTATAATACATCTACAAGAATCATTAAATTTAGAGCCCCATTATGCTAAAATAAATAGAAAAAGGAAATATATTCCTTATTTTTCAAACCATTAATACTAAAGTATGTCTTTAATTTTTCACAATGTTACATTTACACAGCCAGTTTGTCTTTTATTTATTTTCCTCATTCAATTAATTTTAGATATTTTTTAAATGAAAAATATATTGCCTTAAATATCTTATGCTTCTTTTATATTAAAATTTGAATAGACTCAATAAATAAAAAAAATCTCTTATAACAATTAATAGATATTAATGCTACAAATTGTAAACTGATAAATAATGACATTAATATAAATAATGAAATACAAAATTTTTATACCTATTGGCAATCAAGGACAGAAACTAATTTTTACATACATACATTACTAAAATAATATTTAGATATAAAATCTTGCATGTTAAGTAGAGTTGTAAAGTGACAAATAATAAGCAGTTTAATAATACCAAAGTAAATCTTTTTTAATACAGTGGAAAGTCGCGTATCCGGAATCGGCGGGACTTTCCGAAGTCCGTATATTTGATTTTTCCGTGTAATTGACCTCCAAGGTAAACAAAGCTTAAAATGATCTGAATCTAAGAAGCAGAAAATAAATAAACATTATTTTTCGGGCAAGAATGTTTCAGTATTAGAATGATATCTAATCAATCATAAATAAAATATTAGAAAAAAAATAATTATTGCTATTCTAAAAATAAATATAGAAAACGAAAAAAATTCCCAGTTATGAAAATATTAATTGCTCCCTCCACCATTTTGAACTAGAACGATTCAAGCAAGAAGGGGAAATTCCCGTCATTCAATAAGGTGGGTAGGTGGAGAAGAAAAATTCATTTCCTCCTTATTTGTCATTCAAGTTGAGGGCGGGGTAGTGACAAATTCTTATTTTCTCTCCCATCATTGGCTATCAATCAAGCATAAAGGCATGGCATGCTAATTGGGTTCTCTTTATTTTTTCTTGTGTGACTAAAGGGGATTCCCCCTCCACTTTAACATTCAAAAAGGTTCCAGGAAATGCCTCTTTTACTAGCCAGCCCTTTCCTGCACAGAGGAGGAGCCTCATGGTCTTAGTAAATCTTCTGTTCTCTTTTCTGTTGATTTATGGGTTCAATGCATAGATCTCTAGAAGCTGAGAAGGGGAAAAACCTGTCAAAAGACTTCGTTTCTTTTTTTCTTTTTTTTTAAATGAGAGGGGAAGATGAAGAAATGTTTGTTTATTTTGATTGTTAAAAAGTGTCCGGGAAATCGACCCTTCCGGAAAAGGGACGTCCGGATATGAGATGTTACACTGTAATACCAAAAAAGACCTTCTTTGCTTTTTTTTTTAAAAAAAAATAAAAGCTGATTTTATTCCAACCCTGCGCACGACTTAAAAAATATAAAGAATAAAAAAATGAAGTAAAAGAATAAGCACTAGTTAAATATTTACAGTCTTCTAACCCAGTGCTCCCTAACATTTTTATCACCACAGACCAATCAACTTTTGATAATTTTATCACAACCATTTGAGTGGGCGGATGTTGCTTGTTTATATGGTTTTGATTTAATAATTGCAATTTAATTGTATTCAATCATTGTAATTTAATTGCATTTAATCAGTTACACATGAGATATTGGTTTGATTTTACCTTAACCTCTCGGCCATAAAAACTCACACAAACCAGGGAGAAATATATCACAATAAATAAAATGGATATAATTTTATGTTCCTTGGGCAGCCCGGTACCATATTATCCATCAATATTGGTGCCAGGGCTTGGGAATCACTGGTTTAAGCCATATAGTTTTAAATGATAAAGATCACTGAGATACACTAAAGAATGCTATATAATAGGTAGTAATTCTTATTATGAATAATACTAAAAATATTTATATTTAATATAAAAATAAATCAAATCCTTGAAATAATTTAAAAAAAACAACATTTATACTACAATGGGAAGTCGCATATCCGGAATCGGCGGGACTTTCCGAAGTCCGTATATTTGATTTTTCCGTATAATTGACCTCCAAGGTAAACAAAGCTTAAAATGATCTGAATCTAAGAAGCAGAAAATAAATAAACATTATTTTTCGGGCAATAATGTTTTTGTATTAGAATGATATCTAATCAATCATAAACAAAATATTAGAAAAAAAATAATTATTGCTATTCTAAAAATAAATATAGAAAACGAAAAAAATTCCCAGTTATGAAAATATTAAGTGCTCTCTCCACCATTTTGAACTAGAACGATTCAAGCAAGAAGGGGAAATTCCCGTCATTCAATAAGGTGGGTAGGTGGAGAAGAAAAATTCATTTTCTCCTTACTTGTCATTCAAGTTGAGGGCGGGGTAGAGACAAATTCTTATTTTCTCTCCCATCATTGGCTATCAATCAAGCATAAAGGCGTGGCATGCTAATTGGGTTCTCTTTATTTTTTCTTGTGTGACTAAAGGGGATTCCCCCTCCACTTTAACATTAAAAAGGTTCCAGGAAATGCCTCTTTTACTTGCCAGCTGCATAGGAAAGAAGGGGGAGGGAGGGGACTCAGTTGTGCTTTTTTGAAAACAACCTCCCCCCCCCTTTCCTGCATTCCAGAGGAGGAGCGTCATGGTCTTAGTAGATCTTCTGCTCTCTTTTCTGTTGATTTATGGGTTCAATGCATAGATCTCTAGAAGCTGAGAAGGGGAAAAACCTGTCAAAAGACTTCGTTTTTATTATTATTTTTTTTTTTTAAAGAAGGGAAGATGAAGAAATGTTTGTTTATTTTGATTGTTAAAAAGTGTCCGGGAAATCGACCCTTCTGGAAAAGGGACGTCCGGATATGGGACGTTACACTGTAGTATAAAAGTAAAAATAAGTTTCCCAATAAAAATATTTCCTTACTCTAAAATGAATAAAACAAAATAATAAACCTGTAATAAAAATTAACAGAAAAACGTTATAAGAAGAAAAAAAACAGAACATTTTTACTTACTTTTAGCATTGAAAATTCATAATGCTGATAGCCTTTAGTTGTCTCGGCTACAGAACTCATAGTATGAGACATTTTTTCTGAGATAGCAATTAGAGTATTTTGGTAAGCAGCTAATGCTTGAGAAAAAAGATTACAGCGTGAAAATGACAAAAGATCAACTTTCTGAAGAGTATCAAGCTTTAGTTTATCAAATCTTGCTTTTGTTTTCCTAACATTGCTTTGAACCTAATTAACAAATGAAAATAACAGTATGAATAAAAATTCAATGGGAAAACACAGACCAAAAAGTTCAGAACTTCTTACAATATTAAAACATAATCAAAAATCTCACAACAGAAAAGAAATGAAGTAGGCAATGAAATTGAAAAATTTATAAACACCTATCATGAAGTATTTTTAATCTTTAAAAACAGTCAAGTTAAACTTATTTTTACTTAAACATTCATGAAAAACTCTTGTTGACTGCTATCACACAAGGAAATATTTTAAATAAAACACAAACAAAAAGGGAAAAAATAAGTTAACATGCAAAGATTTTAATAGCAATAATTAAATTATGACTAACTTGAATAAATGAATGACAGAAGTATTAGCATAGTAAAAATAGATGATAAAAAATTATATTCTTCTGCATATTTTTTGAAATGTCTATACATTTTGACATCTGACATTTCCCAGATAAATAATTTTACATTTTGAGGAAATATAATTATCCTATTCAGATAAGTTAACTTTCTAATAGAAAATGTTTCAAATTTATAACAACTTTATATATTTGAAGTAAATTTTATTATACAGAACAATGTTTACTCGATTTCTATCAGATTTATAGTTCAAATTATTCTACTTATTACTGGTTACTTGTAAGTATCTAAACTAATTCTACCTTTCGAAATTTTTCAAGCTGTTTACAAGTATCAGGGTCAAGCTGCTGAGAAACATCTTTCATCCACATTAATGCTCCTCGATAGGCAGTTCTTGCTTTTTCCATCTTTTCCACAGTTTGCAAACTATCTACTATTGCCCGATACTGGAAAGTTTCGACTTCATGATAAAGCCTTACAAGAGGTAAACGAAGAGACAATCTAAATAAAAAATATCAGTTATGTAACTTTACATGCAAAATTAAACTTACAAATAAAAAGTTTAACTTTTGAAATCACCAATAATGAATAATCAAGTTTTTTCAACAGAAAATCAAACATGTTATAACTAATATCACCGAGAAAGGAAAGAATTGCAGTCATTGAAGCAAGAAGTAGCATAAAAGTAGATTTCTTTGAATCATAAAATGATCTACAGATATAGAAAAGATTAATAGTTAAAATAATTAAATTACAGAGAACTATCAAATCAAAATCCCTAGCCCTCCACAAAAACAAAGTAGTAAAGATATAACAGTTATAAAGAGATAATATGGCTGACAGGCAGCATACTTTTTAAAAGTATACACAGCAAATAATGTTTCTGTGTTTGTAATATCTTGTGGCAAGTAAAAGACATCTTCCTCTTATAACATACAAAAAGCTTCAGTTTACGCAATATCAATATTTTCCCATTGACAGCATACAGAATCATCAACTGCAACAAAATAACTGAATTTCATATAATCAAGCTCCATGAGATTGGTTCCAATAATTTTCTGCACAATTTTTCAAAAAATTAAATTCTTAAAAAAATTTTTTTCAAATTTCTATTTTTTTCCCCTTTATATTTATGGGAAAAAATTAAATATATTAAGGTAATAATAAAAAACTAATCATGTTTTATTCAACATTACAAATACAGGAAATTTGAAAGAAGACTTTTCTTTTTTAATTAAAGTTCAGGATAGTAAGGTAAGACTATCTCCCGTCATCACCAACACATGTTGCTCCAGAGCAGCAAACAAGCTTCAGTGATACATAAAAAACAGTATCACTCCACCTCCAAAAAAAGTGAGGTTGGTCCCTGAATTCGATGCCAACCTAGCACCCCATTGCTCGTTGATTTTGGTGGTCAATCCAAGTTGTCAGCTTTGTTCGGTTTGAATTAGATCAGACATCAGATATAGACATCAGATATGGATGAAATAAATATATTTTGGTTAATATAAATCAAACTTAATACTCTTTATTTTTATTTGAAATTTATATGACTGGTGCAACTTATTTTAATGCGTCTTATTGTATGTCTACTTTTGTATGCATCTTTTTAAATAAGTGGCTTTGTTCATTTAGAAGATTCAGATATTTCTTATTTCCTGATTTTAACACTAAACATACCATAACCGATCAAATGATCGTTTAAGAACTTTTGCATCGAAAATGTGCTTATCATCTTATCGTTTTTGCACAGTTGACTTCATGACTTTTTCTAACAATTATGTACAGTTAATATTCCATCATTATTTTATGTTTTTGTTTGTTTCAAAAAATACTTGTCGTATACCTATTTATACCACAACCAGTCATTTGAGTGGGAGAATATATATATAAGGTTATTCAATCAGAAATTAAGATGTAATGCGTGTTCAACATATTGCATTTGATTAGTTGCACATCTCTCCAAAGACTGTTTCGTAGTTAGTTCAATCAGAATAACTGTTAATTCAAAACTCAAGATAATACCTAAAATTTTAGATTGGCATTTTTGTGTAAGAAAAAGTCACAAAAACTAAATGTTTTGGTAAGTAGCTAATATTTTATTTTGATAGCTTTACTTTATTTTTATTTTAACTGTTAGTTTTTACCCGGCTCAAACTGGTGATTACAAGAGTATATCTTACAGTTTTGTTAGATGATGTGGTGGTCAATATTATTTTAAATCAATTGTTAATACATGAAGTTGACTACTACTTTAGAATTATTGCTTGTAAATGATAACTAACACATGAGTTGTTAAGAAAAGCAAATGTCTTTCTCTATTCTTTAAGCCAAACTATTACTACTTTAAAAAATCATTTCAAGGTATATAAAATTCAAATCACAGATCTTTTTTCAACATTACACCAAATTTTAATAACTGTCTGACTAAATCATTCTCACCTAAACAACAGATTTAGGTGAGAATGATTTTTTAAGTAAATATCTATAACTAACATGCATATGCTGATAAAACATATATAATAAAGTCTAAGGGAAAACTTAAAGAACAGTGAAAACATTTAAGAAAAATGAAAAATAGAATAGATTAAATCCTTTTATTACATTATTAATTTTAAAGTATATTGTTAAGAAATAACACAACAAACAGGATTTATAATTATATAATTATTAGAAAAAGAGGTATGCACAAGATTAATATTTCAGTCTCAGTAAAAACTTTAAAGTCATCAGTAATTTTCAAAAATAATAAACATTTACTAGATCAATTATTACAATTATGAAAATTGTAAAAAAAACTTTTATTTACAAACTTGCCATACAATACCTCAAAGTTTTGGTACTATTTGTGGAGACTTCGTAAGGTAAGAAGTTAACTGAATATGGAAGAATTTACCTCGACCCGCCCTTATTTAGGGCATACGGGTAAATGTTTATTAAAATTTAATGTTTTTGGCAACAGCTGGTAGCCTCTGTTGCATACGCTTTTTCTCGCTCCTTGAATATTTTGATTTTACCCATTGTTTTAAGTCTAATTTCACTTATAATTATAAAAATTTGAAAATATCAATTTAATGTTTTAGTAAGCAAGCTTTCTATACATAAATATTGCTTCAAACAATGTCTTCGTCAAAAANATAATGATATAAATAGGAAGATCAAAGACTTTAGTAAACATTTTCTTAAAATTGAAAGACAATTTTGGTAAAAAGAACACTGGGAGAAGACCCAAAGCTATTTCCTCAAAGCTAAAAGTTTGCAGACTCTTTGGAATATTTTTGGAACCTACCGGAAAATACTCAATCAAAGAAACTTATTCAAGTAACATGTTTGGCTGTTTGTCAAAAAGCGATGCATAACACAATCAGAAGATTTGTTTCTACAGTAAAATTGGCTAAACGTAGGTTATTGCAGAGGCAGAATATAGAGCATTCAAACTTCAACTAGCAAGTCATGATCTGGAACAACCAATGGATACAAAATAAGTAACCACACTATAATGATATAAATAGGAAGACAAAAGACTTTAGTAAACAATTTCTGAAAATTGGAAGACAATTTTGGTAAAAAGAATACTGGGAGAAGACCTAAAGCTATTTCCTCTAAGCTAAGAGTTTGCAGACTCTTTGGAATATTTTTGGAACCTACTGGAAAATACTTAACCAAAAAAACTTATTCAAGTAAAATGTTTGTATGATTGTCAAAAAACAATGCATAATACAATTAGAAGATTCATTTATACATCAAAATTGTATAAACATAGGTAACAGAGACAGAAAATAAAGCAATCAAACTTCAGCTAGCAGGTCATGATCTGGGACAACCAAAGGATACAAATAATTTTTTCTGACAACAAAAAATTGACTTTAGATGAACCAAATGAAAAGATGCACAGTTCGCATGATTTATGAAAAGAAATATTCTCCAAGCAACCCATTAGGTAGAAACTCAGTGATCACCCGGGGATATTTTGCTTAAAATGGTGTGGGCTCAACTGCATTCATTTCGTACAAAATGAATTCACCAGCATATCAAAATATCCCAGCAAGTCATCTTTTAACAAATGCAGAATTTCTTGCAGGAGAAAACTGGGTACATCAGCAAGACAACACACCTATTCATTCAACTAGTAGTACAAAAAATTGGTTTGAAACCAGTCATGTTGAAACTTAGAAATGGCCAGCTAAGTCTGCATAACTAGAGAACCAAATAGAGAACTTATTGGGTGAAAAGTATATACAAATAGGTGGCATTTGACATCATTAATAAAGTTGAGAAAACTATTATCTAAGACAAATGGTATAAAACAGACCCTAAACTTTGTCAAAATCTAGTTTCATCCATGAAATCTAGAAAATTTGAAGTAATTCAAAAAAATGGTTTTTACACAAGCTTCTAAATTTTTTATTATTTTTATATTATATTTTTATATCATCTTTAAAGTTTCTACTCATGCTGAAATATTAATTTAGTACAAACTACATTTTTCTGTTAATTACAAATCCTGTTTGCTACATCTCTTAACAATGTACTATAAGAATTCATACCATAATATATAAACTCCCTTTACTTTTATTTTCTCACATTTTTTTCACTGGTCTTAAAAGTTTTTACTCAGACTGTAATAAACATGAGTCTTACTTTTGCTGAGCACTAAAACTCAAAGCTTTCCCAGCAGCAGTCATAACTTTGCCAGCTCTCGTTTTATCATACTTTCCATTTTCCTTTAAAAATCTACCTAAAGCATTCTCTTCTTGTGCTAAAGCTAAAATTATTTTTAAAAAAAATATTAGCTGTTACATAAACAATACAACAAAAACAAGTTATGAATAAAAAAATCAAATAAGAAATTGCAAAATTAAGAAGTGAAGCAAAACAGAAAAATTTACATAATGTCAAATGTATTCCATGAAAATAATAATTTTAAAAACATCTATTTAATCAAGAATTTCTAAATGAATATTGCCTTATCCATTGCTTCTGTAAAATTAATTCTCAAGGAATAAAAATTTGTTTATATGAATATACCACAGATCTATAAAATTATAAAAACTCTTCAGTATTAGACGTTTTCATTCATATTTTTAAAATCAGTGAGACTTTCATTTATTATAATAAACAATGCTCAATATTTATTGAAGACAAATTTGAATATAATGTAGAGTTAAATAACAACTTTATTATGCCAAACTGAAAGTGGAAGCATGTTATTCACCATTTATTAAAAACAAGATTTGAATGAATGTATGCTTCACAGCACAAGAGCCACATGTAACTAAACTTTAAAGTATTGCGATTGAATGCAGAATTATAACTATATTTTTTTTTCGAAGTTTATCATTATTAGAATTGTTGACTGCAATAATTTTTTGTTTTAGTTAAAGTGCTGCATATTTTTCTCGAAAATGATAACATTCCAAATTGAGATTTTTTGGTGCTTATTTAACTAAAATTTGCAAATTCTTGTGTATTCCAAACAGTAGAGATTTTGCCGAGTGTATATGTATGGATGGTGCTTTTAGTATAAATGTAAACAATAACAATCTCCAGCTCAATACCTGCTCTAGTTCCGGTTAGAAAGTTTGCAACTGCTTACTACAGCTTATTCCGCGAGGCAATATTTTCAAATGGATAATTTTGTTTTCAATAAAAGAAGTAAACTAGATAATTTCTGAGCACAAATCTGCCGTATATCATAAGATATTAATGTTATTAAGTAGTTCTGGTGAGTTTGAAATGAAAATTTGTTTTAGTTATTTATAGATATATTGTTAAAAAAGGTGACATGGTTGCTAGATTTTGAATAACTCGCTATTTTGGCAGTCCTGATTTGGCCTCTTTCCATTTGTTTATTACAGTTTGTTCTTGTTGCAAGCTGTGCACCATCTTATGTTAGTGTTAGCAGCTTTAGCATTGTAAACACTTTTAATAAGTAAGCAAATACCAGGGGTGATTGTGAGCCCAAGTCAAAATTCCGGAAAATTTCTTGAGTTAAAAAAAAAAAAAAAACAGTTTAAACTGAAAAAAAATTTAAACAAGGTTTTTTTTCCCTATATTTCTTAGTTTACTTAAAATATATTTAAAATTTTACACATACCTATACCATTTACACATAGCTATGATGACCTGGAGAGGTAATTAAAATTTACAAATATGTCTTTCTTTCTTGAGTTTATGATTATAACAACTATTTATTGATAAAAAAGGAATATTAATCATGAATATAAGCTTATAAAGTATCTCTCTGGCTCTCCCTTACAAACAAATAAAATAAACTGTGTTTTTAAGTTCCACCTTTGAAAATTTGATTTCCGGAAACTTCTGCGATAAATGATATTTTGAAACGTCTGGACCTTCGATCTCCGGAAACTTCCAGATCACTGTTTGCGAAAATTCCGGAAATCCGGATTTTTTCCGGAGCACAATCACCCCTGAAATACCATGTTTGCAAGACTCTCAAAACAGAATGATCATGTTGTAAGCCAGATGGCTTTAAAATACACCGGAAACAGTAACCCGGAAATATAGGCGGTATGGAGCTTGCAGCGTTCACTATTGTAGAAAACACCATCCATATTCTTATTTTCACCTAAACTTTTTGGAAAGTTGCTTTTAACAACAACAAAATTCTATAACAAAGTTTAGTAATTCGATGTACTTCTGTAAATAATGTTTCAAGCAGAAGTTTAAATTTAAAGAAAATCGGTGAGATTTGGAGTTATGAATTTGAACTACTTTCGAGAGGCTACACAAAAATTCTAAATTAAACACTAAAATATTTTTCATGCTCATAAGCCTTTAAGTTAAGGGACTAAGCCCTCTACCATTTTAAAGTAATAATGTTTTAACCATAAAAAACATTCAAAACAGTGATTATGAATGAAAGGAAAACCAACATGCAAGTTAGTAGAGCAGTTCAAAAGAATTATTTGGCACAGTCATGGGACACTTTACTTTCATAACATCTTCCCCTAAGCTAGGGGTGCACAACCTTTTTCAGTGAAGGGCCACATGCACAGCAGATTGACCAATGAAGGGCCGCATGCCAAAGTGTTTAGACCGACATATTGAAAGCAATTGTTGGTGNAGCACCCCTACCCTAAGCAGAGAAAAACTAAAACACAACACAAACTGGTTCATCCAACTACTTTCATAACATTAATTAACAATTTCTTCCATTTAGCAAACAAAACAAAAATGCAAATTAAATTGATTATGAATGAGGCAATTACTGATCAGTATTTATTTATTTATTTTTTTTTTCATAAAGAATTTTCACAGAGTAATTTAGAAAGTTTAAGACGCTAACACTTTATAGGCTAATCAGGTTAACTAAAATTCTCTTTTTATTTTGGCACTTTTAAATAACAAAACTGCGTGTATTTATTTTTTGCATTCTATTTTGACAATAATTCTAATAAAAATAATTAATTTTTTCTCCAAATAGTTATCAAGCTTATATTGTTATTATTATAATTATTACTTACCTATAGTTGATAGAAAATTTAACTCTGAATGGAATTAAAAAAAAGTTTTAAAAAAAGAAGCAGAAATAATTATTGAAAACGCTGATACAGTGCTTTAGGAAACATAAATTTATGGAATATTTCAAGAGAGCAATAAAACAAAAAAAAATGATAATGAGGTATTATACTAATTTACATAATATAAACTCCAGTATACTATATATGTACCCAAATATTAATAATGATATACCCAAAATTAATAATGGTTAGTAAAATACTCCAGTGCAATTAAAAAAATAATGCAAGTACTTCCTGATTCTTTTTGAGAAAATCTTATTTGCAGCTCTTTTCTTTCCCCATGTAATACAGTGAACACTAAAATAAAATTTCAGAAAACTGCTTAAAAATATATTTTTTTATTTATTCATTTACAATATGTAGATTTTTGTATAACAATTCTAAACGCATATAAATCTTAATTTTGATTTTTCTTTTGTCATTTACGTTGATTTTATTTTATTATCAGGTAAAATAAAAAATCTTAAAAAAAGAAAATATTGAATTTCAGATGTTACAAATTTAAAGCAACTCACAACATAATTTATCTTGATAATTTTCTAACACTCTCATTAAAGTCAAGAAAGATTCTTCAATAGTTTGGAATAGCTGAAATAAAATAAAATCATTGAAACTCTTTCACAAAAAGAATTTTTTAAATTATTCAATCACATAGGAAATAACAAACATATTATGAATACACATAAGCGTCCACTAAATTTTATGTTAAGCTAAGGTGTTTATACTTAATTTTTTTAAAATATCCTTCCAAGAATAAGTAAGAAGAATTCCAACTGAAATTTGATAAAACCCTAAATGATGAGACTAAATTTTCAATATGCATTCTTTGACCCATTAATGCTTAAGTCAAAATTTTTAACATTGTTTAGCTGTACAATATTAAATTTTGTAAAATCAATAAAAATGTTAAAAAAAAATTTTTAACTGCAAATTTGTTTCAACATAAAAAGTTGAAAAATTTATAAACTTAATGTAAATTACCAAAAATATATGCAAATCTACTACTGGAAATTCTAAGATAAAAAGTATCATGACAGTTGTATTAAATGAAATATTTACTAAAGAATTTATTTATTAATCAATACTTAATTTTAACACACTACTTCTGGATATTGTGAAAAACTGCTTTTAATATGGACTTACTTTTATGTTAAATGTTTAACACATGAAGTAAGTTCTAAAAATAAATTAATACAGTACAGAACCCGTTACCCGGAAATCAGAAAACCGGAACGAAATTCGATAAATTTTCGCGCTATTTTTTTAAAAAAAAATTTTTTTCCTCAGAAGATTTTAGAATTTTTCTTTCTTTTTTGAAAGACCTTACCATCATTTTGGAAATAATCATTAGTGTATTCCTTCATCGTTTTTTCTTCTTTTTAAGATTATTTCCAAAAAAAAACATTGTTTTTTTTTGTTGGGTTTAACAATAAAAAAACGGCTTTTTGTAGCGATTCAGGAAACCGGAAAAATCAGTTATCCGGAATAGCGATGGTCCCGATCGTTCCGGATAATCAGTTCCCTACTGTANCCATATGTACATTTTTTTTTGTTGGGTTCAACAATAAAAAAAACGGCTTTTTGTAGCGATTCAGAAAACCGGAAAAATCAGTTATCCGGAATAGCGATGGCCCCGATCGTTCTGGATAATCAGTTCTTTACTGTATTTCATTGCTTATAAATTCAAATTAAATTTATATAGAAAAAATACTTTTATAAGTGTTATGATGCAGTTTTGAATTGTCTTGAATAGGTTAACCTAAGGTCTAGATGCATATTTCTTAAATCTAATAAAATATGTTGTACATAATCTATGCACATTTTGGTGATTTATCAATGCTATGGTGTAAATACCAGCATATCTGATAACAAAATTGTAAATTAACATTGTGACTACTCAATGGCTAGTTTCAGTGGAGAGAATAAAAAAGCACTAAAATAGCTAGGTAATTCTTAAGATTCAGAGACAATCCAGCCACTTGTAAGCAAATGTTAAACTAAAATTTAGCAAAATTTAGGTTATATACAATAAAATTCCATTCTTAAGCATTATACAGAATTTAATCCTTTTTATTTATATTAATTTAAAGCCTTATTTGTGAAATATTTTCCTTAAATAGGATAACCTATCCCATGGAATATATCTTAAATAAAAAGCAAAATACTAATTATAATTGAATAAGAATCATTAAATTAAAATCATAATATTTTACACACATCTTTAATGCTAATTTGTCATAAATTATGATATTAACAATACTTTTTACCTCTAATTTTGCATCCAGTTCTGCATCACTAGCTATTATGCAGTCATCTTCTTTCTTTCCCAATTTTTTAAAAACAGCTTGTTTGGTAGTCCAGTAACGTTCCTGCATTCGACTCAGGGTTGACGATTCGCGAAAGTCATTCATCATTTAACCTATCAAAAATTCAATTATATCTTATCATTACTAATCGCTAAAATTGATTTTTCCTTTCTTTTCCTAAATTTTTTTGTAATTATTATTATTTGGAGTTGAGTTACACAAATTTATATAGAAAAAGAATAGCTTTATTGTTATTTCATGCTTTTTAATTTCAATTAAGCTATGTGTAATAAATATTTACTTGAATCTTAATATTGTTTAAATGCCAGGTTCAGCTTTTAATAGTTTTAATTTACTTATTTCTAAGTTAGATTTAAATTAAGAAATGCAGCCCAAAATAATAAGCAACATAACTACTTACTATCATTTAAATAATTTTTAAATTTTTCATAAAACAACTGATTGAGAAAGTAGTGAAATTAAATCATACAATCAATGTATTATCTTAAATATTTAAAAAGAAATTCACATGCTGCCGATTGCACTTTCCCAGTTTCGTAGGTGATAATTTGTTTTATTACGTTCACATTTTTACTCGATCAGCAATTCCCAGCATAGAATTAAAATTTAAATGAAAACCAATTATAGTCTTTCAATCCTATTTTAAATTCAAAATGAACAAAACGATGAAAAACTAAGAATATACAGTAAATTATCAGTTTGAGCTGAATTATTCTTTCGAGAAAATTAATAACAGAAGTTTTATGAATATTGCTTTCATAAGACAATTTATAATTGCCTACATGTGTATCATTGATTCGTATCAAAGAAGAATTAAGTACACTAACAAAACTTTTCAAAAAATAATCATATAACTAATGAAGTATGATCAACTGAAATAAAATTACCTGCGATTAATTAATTAGTTAACATTTAAAGAAAAAATCTGTCACTCTACATTTGAGATGTTTACTGTTTACGTTTTCTTCCGAAACCTCGAAACCGAATATTCAACTACTGTTGCCAAATGAATATGAAACAACTAAATAATTGAATTAGCTCTCGGCTATCGAAAAGATCGCATTAGCCTTAACATAATAAAGTTTACAAGTACAGAACGTTAAGAAACCACCGGCTTATACTAACCCTATTTTGGCGTGTTTGGCAATGTAACAATCTGTCGCCATCCAAGTTAAAGCACTCATGAAAGCAGGTAAAAAGAGCAATTGTAGCCAAAATATTGGCAAATTTTGTCATTACTTGGCGCCTCTTTCCTGCTAAAGCTTTCTGTTTATTTACAAATTTCAAACATAATTCCCGCGATTATGGGGAAATATTTCATTTTTTATTATTATTCAAAAATTATGCTAGTAGTTGTGAGAAATGACTTTTTTTAAACCAATTATTAAACTAAAAATATAAATTATGATATTTTTACAGCGAATACAATTGTATTCTAAATTAGTAATACTACTGTTATTTATATCGACAATTATTTTGTATTTATATGTCACTAATAAAAGTCCTTATTTAAAATATAGCATACTTTCACCTGATAGGATAGTTAACAAAGATTTTAGAATTCATTTTAACCAAAATAATGATTCGAGTCACAAAGGATTGTTTCCATCTGCGAAAAATTTACCAAAAACGAACTCTAATCTTAATAAAATGATTTCACATGAAAATGGAAACATAACGAGGTAAATAACCATTTATTTATATATTATTCTTAGTACATAATTCAAATGTAATGAAAAGTGATTATTAATATTCTACTACTTGTTTATTTCTTAAAGTTCACCATGACAATTTTGTTAGACTTTCTATGTCTTTTATTTTATTTTGTATCAGTAGGATTTTAAATTGTTTGCTTCAAATGCATTTATTTAGGTATGGAAATGGTACCGAAATGGTGAAGCTTGCTGTTGTGCTATGTGGAGACCGATTAAACCAAACACTAATTACCCTTAAATCTGCTTTGATATTTTCCAAAGCACCTCTTCATTTTATAATTGTCCTTGATGAAGATAATCGTCAACTATTGAAAGAAAAGGTTATTTGTACTTTACTTTCTTAATTTCATGACAGATTAATAATATAAAACTATATATATATGTATATGAAAGAAATATTTAAAATACATTTTTACACATAGGTTTGAGCAAAATGTTTGTTTTTCTAAAGTTACAATCATCAATTTTTTTTATATAAATATAAACTAAATCTGAAATGCTGGTTATTAAATATAAGTATATAATATACCTCATTAGACCTATTTAATATTAAAATATTTACATTAAATATTAATCGTGGTACCCAAGTCTCAAAACTCATAGTAATATTTCTGAAACAGATGAAATCTATCTTAATTTTCTTGATTTATTTATAAATAAAATGCTTGATACTAGTTTAGAAGTGTACAACATGTTGCCCAGTAATTATTGATGTGCAACCCATGGCTACACTTGAACTTTTTTAAATGTTTCTTTCAAAAAATAAAAAAAAAATAGACATTTTGAATCTTGCATTTGAGTCACTATTTTTCAGAATGCTTATTTTGCACAAATTTCATCTTAAATAAATATGATTTTTTGATCGATGATCATATCTACAGATTTCCACATGGATTAAAAAATCATAATTTTTTAATGTCTTATTAGTAAGATAAGCAAAATTCAGATTTAAGTAATCACTTTTGAAAATCTTTATTTGTGCTGATTTCATCATGAACCCAAGTGATTTTTTGACCATTTAGTTGGCTCTTATTCCTTCTGATTTCTGCATGAATTTTAAAATTCTGATATATTTTGAAGTTGGTCTGAAATGCTTATTAAATAATTGAATGCTTATTAAATAATAACTTTTAGACTTTATTTGCGTCGATTTTATCAATGATATGAGATTTTTTATCATAGTTATGCAATTATTTTTCACTTTTCCCCATACTCTTAAAATTGTCTATGTTTTTTATACAATTTTATGACACAAGTTTTAGGGTGACCCGGGGTAATTCACGATCACTCTGTTTCTGGGGTAAATAATGATCACCAAAGTTTTATTTTTAAAAAAAAAAAATTTTTTTAAATTTGAGACATTGACAAGAAAGCTTGTACACTTTACTAAGGTATAACTACATTTACTTAATAATAGTTTTTTGTTTAATTTAACAAAATAAGTATCTTNGATCACCTAAGTTTTATTTTTAAAAAAAAAATTTTTTTTTTAAATTTGAGACATGGACAATAAAGCTTGTACACTTTACTAAGGTATAACTACATTTACTTAATAATAGTTTTTTGTTTAATTTAACAAAATAAGTATCTTTTAAAATGCTTTCTGCATTTTCCATTTCAAAGATGGGTTTCAAATTGTGCGCATTTCTGCAAAGATCCCCCTCCTTCTCTTAATAATAAATATTTTGAGTTACTTTCTTTTTCTTTGATATAAAAATAGTGTAAGCTTTTGTTTAATTGTTTTACATCTACTGTAAACATTATAATTGATTATAGGAAACTATATCAAGTGTTGCCCCCTACAGATGGGGTAATTATTTATCACTGGGGTAATTCCTGATTATTTTCATTTCTTCTTATAGTATAAAAAAATAGCTAATAAATAGTTGATTGTCTTTTCTTATATAACAGTTCATATTTATTAAGTGGAACAACTATAAAATATATTTTAACGATAATCACAAAATTTGTTTTTAACTGTATACAAGACAAATGTGTTCTGATATGCACCATTTCTAGCTTGTCTTACCTTTCTTCTATCTTAATTTTATGTGTGTACATTGTTAGAATAATTTTTAAGTTGATAAATTAACCTAATATAAATATGGTGAGAAATTATAAGCCTAAAAAGGATACTAAGCTTCTAGAAAGCAAAAATAGTGAATTTCTTTTAATGATTGAAAATGAAAATTTCAGTGTGAGAGCTGCTGCCAGAGCTGAAGAGTTAATCTTTATTCCTGCTTTTAAATAAAACGTTTTATTAGCAGCTTAAACATATCTTTTTGGTTTATTTGTTTGATCTTAATGTCTTATTTGTTAATTACCATTGTATAATTATTTTTAAACAGCCCATTTACTATAAAAACTGGTGATCAGTAATTACCCCAGAAATGATCAAGAATTACCCCGGAAATGATCAAGAGAAGGGGTAATTCCTGATCACTAAAAATTTAAGATCTTTTAAATTCTAATTAGATTTTCAAACAAAAGAAGGTAGAATAGGACTCATCTCATATAGCTTCAAACTTCCAGTAAATATTAAAATTCTATCTTGAATAGTTTTTTCACAAAATAGATGTTTGCATTTTTTGATCAGGAATTACCCCAGGTCACTCTAAATCTTACATTTAAATAATTTATTTTAGCATCCTTTATCTGTGCAGTTATTGTAAAAGCAAGTGGTTTTTGATCATTTTTATAACAGTTAGCGTTATGCATTTTCACATGATATGCAATATATTTTATTAGGAATTGTACAATTTATTATAATATTTAATTTACAAATTTAATGCAACAATAATTGCAACACATTTTATGACTTACAATTCTGTTTCTAATTTTTTAAGGTCAAAAAGTTTAGTTACAAATTTTGGGTTAATAAGTTTTGTTTCGTGCTACTAAAAATACTTAAGCCTTTCATTGGTCAACTTGCTGTTCAAATGGCCCTTCCCTCAAAATATTTATGCGTCACTAATCTAGTGTATGTATTGTACAGTTACAGTAGTTTAGTTACACAATTTTGCAAGAAGTAATCTAAGTTTCTAGCAAGAAAAGTAAATAAAATATTGGATTTTAATTTCAGTTTATTAATTAACAGCTTGTTTTGCAATGCTATGGGAGAAAGATGAATGGACTAGAACCTCATCTTTGGTAACTTATCAATTTCAAGCAGTTTTTCTCAATTCTGAATATGACTTTTTGTTTCTTTATAACATTAATCTGGGATTTAATTTGTGTTGTACATGTACTTCATAAAATATGCTCTATTCACAAAGAATTTTGTTATATTATGTGATTTTCAACCCCAATATCCATTTTCATAATTCTTTTAACATAAGTTCTTAATTTTTTTCCTATTCTAAAGATATTAAAATGGCCAGAGAAAATATTAAAGCGAATATCCTTTGAGATTCATCCTATAAGTTTTCCACTTGGTGAAGAAGGAAATGAATGGAAGAAGCTCTTTAAACTATGTGCCTGTCAACGTCTCTTTTTGCCGGTAATTACGCAGTTTCTATTTTTGTGTAATTATTTGTTTGTCTAATTATTGTAAAATAAGTTATTTAACTTTATCTTGCATTATATTCAATTCAATATTATCTTGCATTTTTATTTTAATTTTAACTGTTTCAAATTATTCTTCCTTTGCTGACTAATATTCCTGAATAGATTGAAATATTAAATGAAAATTTTAAAGCAGTTTTTTTTAAATATTGGTTTGAGAAATATAATATTTGTCAAATAATTTTTCGCCAAATTTTGAAATGAATATATATAGGCTATCTAGAATATATCAGAGATAATTTTGCTCCGAAAAAAATCGGGATTTTTCAGTAACCACAATCCAAAAGTTTCTGGGAATCATCAATCACATTTATGTATAGAAATTCTTGTATATTTTATTTAAAAATCTTAGATCTAGAATTTATACTTGGCATCTCTTTCATTTGTAAATATTTATTTTTGATAGAATAATAAATGTGATTACAGATTAAAGTAAACTTATGCATAATTATTCATTTAAATTATGCTGCATATTATTAATTTAAAATTTCATGTTTTGAAAATATCAATGATTTAAATTTATAAAGACATTAATTTTTTGAAATGGGTCATTAACGGTTTTACTCAAGAAATTTTCAGGATTTTTGAGTTGGGCTCAGAATTAGACCTGATATATAGATTTTTTTTTTCAGGTCTTATCTATTTGTCAAACAAAATAAGTTCTTACTAAATAACATTACCTAGTAGTGTTAGATATAGAAATATTTACATAAGAACCAGGTTTAACATAATATTTGATGATATCCAGAAACTTATATTCAAAATGTGTATTCATAGAAAAAAAAAAACCAATTGATTCAGATTTAGCTGTGAAATTATATTTTTAATGTCATAACAAAGAGAAAAAAAATCTTTTTGTAAAATAATAAATAATTAATTTCCTTTTAGTCCTTGCTTCGACATATTGATTCATTGTTGTATGTTGACACAGACGTGGTTTTCATCCATCCTGTTGAGGATCTATGGTTGCATTTTAGCAAAATGAACAACAGTCAGATAGCTGCCTTAAGTCCAGAGCATGAAGATTTTGCCACTGGATGGTATAATAGATTTGCTAGACATCCTTTTTATGAACCATTAGGTAATTAAGAGTTTAATTTTTCTTAAGCTTTTTTTTTATTATTTATTTCCTACCTTGTATGTATCAACCATCAATGTATCTTGAAAACAATTACCATAATTAGTTTTAGTAAATTATACACATTTCTCTTTTACGTAAAAAAGGTGCAATTTTTATCTTCAGAAATATTTTATAATAATAAAAATATTTAATTTTTAACAGTCACATCTTGTCATATTTCTAAAAATCTAAAATGTATGAAGTTTTCAGTGTTATAGTTTTCAGTGTTTATAGTATTGACTACTTTTTTCTCTTCTTCAAAAAATAAAATATATAAATTTTTTTCAGGAAATAGTTATAAACTTTATTTAGTTTGTTGAACTTTATTTAAATTTGAACTCAAAAGCAATAAAAAAAATTTATTCTTTCTAACAATGTTACAACTTTTATATTGTTCAAAATTAAGGTTTCTCCATATTGTTGTGTATAGTGTATTGATAGTCAGTTGTGTATCGTATATTGATAAGTTTTTAAATTCAGAATTTAAATATTTTTGTTACTAATTAACAAATTGCTGTTTTTATTACACAAATGTAATAATTTATAATAAAATTTGAATAATCTGAACTTTTTAGGTGTGAATTCTGGTGTAATGCTTATGAACTTGACTCGGATGAGAGCATTTCAATGGGAAAAATATTTGACACCAATTCTGAAAGAATATAAGCTGAATATTGTTTGGGGTGATCAAGACATTATTAATATAATATTTCATTTTCATCCAGGTTTGTAAAAATGTTTGTTCAATGTGATATTAAAAATTAAAAATAAATTTTAGATTATTTGGTGCTAGCGATTCCATTAAACTTAAGAAATTAAAGATCCTTAGAACCCGAAACCAAAGAATTTTAAATCAAAAAGAGTTATATCTGAACTATCAAGTCTTTTTATTAAGACTGATCAAATACCTGCATCAAGAAAGAGCAAAAATGTAATTTGATGCTCAGAATTGTTCTAATTTTCACTTTCATCTATTAACAAAGGAAACGAAATTTGTGTTATGTATATTTAAAGTTTGGTTTTAGTTTTGCTAACATAAATTTGCTAATGCGCTATTTTTTTTTCCCCTCTGGGCTGAAAAATTATAACTTCCAAGGGATGCATCATAACTTAATTTTTGGGTTTGCTATACCGTTTTCAGCGTGTTATAGCGCTTAAACTGAATCATTGAGTAAAAATATAGACATTTATTTAAAAAGCACTTGTTAAACTGGGATGCAAGTTTCAATTTCAGGAAATAGATTTTATATATTTAAAAAAATTTATCATTGTTTGATTTAAATCATTTCTGAGATCACTGCAAAACCATATAAATTTGGGTTAGTTAAACTTAATTATAATTTTAAAATTGTAAGAATTTACTAGGTCAAATTGAGAGAATGTACATAAATTACACTCGAGATATTGATGCATCTTATTGTTCTATTTTGTCCAAGTTCAATTTTAACAAGTATGTTGTTCTGAACTTTTAAAACTCTTGAATAATATTATAAATAAGAAACCATGCTTAGTAAAATTCTTCTCTCGTGAAATTTTTCATACTAAATTTGGAATTATTTACTAATTTTTTTAAAAAATTAAAACAAATATATGGTTTGGCCTTGTATTTGGTAATGTATGGTTTGGAAAACTTGTTTCCGAAGTTTTATATCATCGTCTTAAGTTAAGCTGCTTTTTTTCATGACTTCAGGTTTTACATAATTTTTATTGTATTAATAAATATTATGTATCTTAAGATTTCTGTTGACAATTTCGAATCATCATAATTTCAGTTATGAAATAATATACACTGTGAATATACTTTTGATTACATCTCACCAGAATATATTTCAACATTTATTTTAACTTCTTTCTACTAATCATGTTTAATTTAGATAAGCTGTACATTTTTCCGTGTGCTTGGAATTTTCGCCCTGATCATTGTATGTATTCAAGTGTTTGTTCAAGTGCAAAAAAAGATGGTATTGCTATAATCCATGGAAATCGGGGTGTATTTTACAACAACAAACAACCAGTGTTTAAATTCATCTATAAAGAAATGCAACAGGTAATACTTTTTAGTTACTTATAGATTATTTAGTTTATTTTTACTTATAAATTAGTTTAAGTACAATATAAATGTCTTACCACCATTTTTATAAAGATACTCTTCAAGTGAACTAAAATTATTTTCAAAAACACCAAAATGCTGATTGAAGAAAATGTTCACTAAAAAATTTACTCAATTGGAATGAAAGATAAGATATAGACAAAATCCTTTTAACTAAGACCTTGACAAAAGTTAAAAACAATAGTCAAATCATGGATTTTATACTATTTTGGCAAGGTTTGATAGCATCTAAAGCTTACCACTTATATGAAATTTTTAGTTTAATATAATCGTTTTTCCATCCCTTTTCAAAAGCATATTCCATTCACCTCTCTAAATTTTTATTATTTTTATTCGACATTTAATGAGCTCTGCATTAAAAATAAATAGAATGTATTTTTATGATATGTATCATACATCTATGAAACTGTGGTAAATAAGTATTTCATCCATAAATTTGCTTTTCTGCACAATAATATTGTTTTCACCTATATTTAAAATATTGTTCACAACTAGCTAAAATACCAGCCTGTCTCTATCAATTAAAAGTAAACTTTTCAGTTTTTATTTATTAACATATGGGCAAGGAAGCATTTTTTAGATCTAATTTTACTCTACTTCCACTTCACAAAATATCAACTTTTCTCAAGTAATTGTAGGTAAAGCTTTTAGTATTATAACAAGTTTCACACTTGTCACTGAAATTTAAATTTTATATCAATGGTTTTATACCTACATAAGAAAAAACTAGAAAAATCTGTAACAATAAACAATTCAGTTTTTATTTCATGCTTACCATTTTGCATATATTTTATAAAATAAATTAGTACAAAATAACTTAAAAAATTCTCATTTCACAAAATAAAGCAATGATTATTCAAAGTGTACTACCTACTGAATTATTTAAATTATATTTATTTTTCATGCATTTCAAAGAATGGGAAACATATTTTTTTTTAAATTTAATTTAACTGCTAATCAATGTAATTTTTTACTTAAAAAAGTGAAACTAAAAAAATATTCAATGGCTTATATATGTATATGTTTTTTTTTTTTTTTTTTACATACAAAGTATGATTTGGAGAAAGATGTTCCTTCCATGTTCATACTACAGATTCAGAAGTTACTGAAAGAATCAGAAAATACTAATTGTGGAAAACATTTATCTGCAATATTCTCATCTATAAGTTTAAATAAAACAAATGTGTATAGCAGATGATATTATAAATTATTATATAAATTCATATCTCACTTTTTCAAGACTTCTGTATTTTCAATTTGCTGAATGTGATGAAAATAATATCTTTCAAGGTTTTACCATGTCGTAAACTTCTTTTTTAATTCAAACATTGAAATTTATTTTTAAAACAAGGCTTAAAATTGTGAGTACTTAATTTTCTGTTTAAAGTGTGTAAAATTAACAAGATTTTTAATATAACTTCTGACTCTAGTTTGTCATGTATTTTGTTTGAATATTTAAAATTAATTTGTTGATTTAAACATTGCTGGAAATTCTTATTTGAAAAATGTTTGTAGAGTTGTATTGGTTTTATTTTTGATCTAAGCTAAAATTGCTTGTTTTTTTTTATCTTTTTAAACTATCTCAGCTCGCTATGTTAATATAAAGTGTATTCATCAACATAAAATGTATTCATTGATGGGAATCATCCATTTTCCGCTTCTTTTTTATTTTTTCCCTCCTTCTGATTTTTGTTCGATTTTAATCTGATTTCCGCCAATATGTGAAAAAAAATTGGATATCACCTAAAAAGAAATTCCGCATTTCACTACAACGGGAAAAATCGCGTATTTTTTTCATGTCTCGCATAAAGGGATTTATACCGCCAAGAATTGCACACTTAATTTCAGAGTGCGCAAAAATTTCACATTTTGAAGAATTACGAATTTGAGATGAAATTGTCACAACTAAATCGGGTCATTGATTGCTCAAAAGTGTGAATGTGGAATTTGCAGATCATAAGATTCTGTAAAAAATTAAATCTACATATTAAAAAATTTTTGGAATACCTAAACTGTTGAAATGGTGATCAATAAAACCACATGAAGAATAAGATCATCACAAATCTAGTCATGAAAAAGTAATTCTATAAAATGTGCGAATTTAAATTTGCCATGTATGATAATGAAGCATTGAACTATGAAAATTGGTAACAACTGGCAAAAATGCAATTGTAAATCCATGTGAGATTTCAGGGGGGAGTCGTCAATAATTGAGTACGAAATACGCAATTCGGAGTTTGGTGATCAAAATAATCTATTAAAACATTACAATTTTAAAAATAAAGTGAAAATCCATTTCAATAGCTACCAAAAAAACTATTGGCAAAACCATGTGGATTCACTGTGGAATCGTCCCTGATCGAGTAGATTGAGAAATCGTTACTAACTGAAATGCCGAATTCGGAATTTGCATCCAGATTTTAAAAACCATCTGGAAGTCTGTAACAAAATATTTCAAAATACCACAACTACATAAGCCACGTGAATTTATTCACTGTTTATTGAAATTGACGTTAATTATTGTCTATTTGTTGTTTTTTATTGATTTAGGATGTTTTGATATTTGTTTACCTTAAAGACTTATTATCCCAAAAAATCTATTTTCCGGACTTGCTGAAGTCCCAACGACTCCGTATATGAGAATTTCCACTGCATTTCACTATTAGATTATTCCAATATAAAAACAAAGCTTTTGTTTGTATGAAAGAAATCAACTACGAATATCTATTTCCGATCAGCTTTTAACATTCCTGTTTATAACATTTTAAATAATTGTTAAATAAATGATAAAACCATTTCTCAAAAACTTTTGATAAATTAATGTCTGAAATTAGAAGAACTTTTCATCAAGAATCTATGCAATATGGAATCTATGCAATTTTATCAAGAATAGTTTTTAATGTAATTTGTAACTTATTTGATTCTAGAGTATAAAATTTGTATAAATGCAGCAAAGCACCATTTATATACATTTTTATTGAACTAATAAGTATGTGTTTTTGAGTAGAAATGAATATAAGTGAATGCATTACTACTCCAATGGTTCTGCACAAAGAAACCATCTTTTGATGTACATTCTTCTCTCATATCAAACTACTTTTTTTCATATTAGGTATGAAAATTGTTCATCGATGGCAAAAAGTCTTAAAAATTAGCCCTTTAACTTGAGCACATGAGAGCTATGGTATTTTCATTCAAAATATTATTATGTTTAACTCGTATAGGATATTTCATAATTCTCCATTTCCTGGAGGCTATAATCGAAATTCTTTGACTGATACAGTATAAATGAACCTTGCTCAAAGTACAAAAATCAATCAAGTATTTTTTTAAGATATCTCTTACAGGTACAATCAAATTTGCTTTTAACGAGTCCTGATATAACATAAGCCCAAATTTAGTGAAGAAATCGGAAATACTTGATTGGTACAATGTTAAGTCTATTCGAGCATAGCTGGCTTTTAACGAGCGAACCCCAGTTTTAGCAAGCAATATTTTTATGATTCATGAAATTATTACCTAATTCAGTTGAGCTAATCCCTTCTTGGAAAAATTTCTTTTTGATGTTTTCCGGGTTGTCAAATTTCCTTTCAATGCTTGTCAATGAATTCTTTTGATATTTATAATGTTTTTCAGGTCACAAATCTTATCTGAAGAACAGTAACACATTTCAAAGCAAATTAACTAACTTCTTTTGTACTGTAAAAAATAATAATAATAATAAATCACGTTTTATATTTGTATTGTTAGCTTATGTTAATGAACATATATGATTTTTTCACAAACCCATTTTTACGAGCACTCAGTTGTAATGAGCCAATATTACAGTTCCTTTGCACTTGTTATAAACGAATTCAATTGTATTTGATAAAGAGAATTCTTGTTGTATGGCAAGCATTAATTTGATTTGGTAAAAATCAACATTTATTTCTTATAAGAATTCTTTCAATATGGTACAGTTGATGAGTTTTCTAAAATATTTGTTACTAAAGGAAAATGTTAGCTTTAGATAGCAATAGGGCACATCCTATTAATGCCATCATTGATGGAGAAAATGCTATTAAGGTTATTTTTTATCTGGTGCTGTTTTTAAAGGGTTTTGTGTGTGACCATTCACCCGTAAATTCTATTTAAAAAATCCTTTTTACCCCCAAAAATTTTTTTACCAAATGCTTGTAAGAACTTGAATGTTTTCTCCTTTTAATCTAAGGACACTTCATCTGTCATTGGCACAGTTATTTATAATAATATTGTTATTTTAGTATTCTAAAATCAGGCAAGAAATTATGAGTTATCTTGCATTATGAGTTATCTTAAATTATGAGTTTTAAAGATCTATAATTAATAAAAATCTAAAAATTTTTAATTCTTCATTATATAGTTTTTGGAAGCTTTCTAAAAATAGCAGTTGAACTTTAATGTTCACAATAACTGAAAATATCAAGTTCTCTATTTTTACTCTTATTAAGATTTAAGCCTTTAGATAGGATTAAGCCTTTTTGTTTTAAGTTTAGAACCTTATGCAAGTTAGAAAAAAAATTTGCACTTTTACTTTGAATTGTATATTTTCTTTATTTGACTTATATATTATTTTTTTAAAAATATGTTGTCAATGTTTTGTGTTTAAAAAAAATTCTGCAGAATTAGAAGGTAAAAACAAGATTTAACTGTATAACAATGGTAATTTGCTGTATTAATTTATTTTTAGCTCAATTTTTATGTTCACTTAAAGTACAGTAGTGAATTTCTGTGCATAGAGAAATTTTTAACTGAAAATGCATAAGATAAAATTTATTTTGTATGAATATATGCAATGAATAATTTTTTTAAAGTATTTCAGAAAGATATTGTAATATAAATCTTTGTTGTTTAGTAAATTCTCAAATTGGAAAGAGAAAAAAAAACAGTCATAGTTAGAAAAAAGTTAGTTTTTTGCCTTATTTTAGCCTAATTTAGCGAAAAGAAGTTTAAATTTTTTTTATTTAAAATGTATACAACTTAATCATGTAAGCATTTAATGTCATTAATGATTATTCAATGATCATTAAAAATCTGTATCACCTTGTATTAGAGAAAAAATGCTGCCCACAAATCAATACATACTTTTTTCAGATAAGTTTTTTTTTTATATTAATTTTTAAGAATTAATAAAATCATTAACTCCCTTGTAAACATTTAATATTATTTGATGTTTTAGTTGCAAAAAATTTAAAATTACATTGCTACTAGAACTGTCCCTGGCTGGCTAAGTTCCTTTGGTTTTTTTAATATCTTGGTCACTTTTTTTATGTAAATTAAATTATAATAAAAACAATTGACTGTTTTTTTTCTCATGTCTAATTAGTTTTGTTGTCTATAATTTATTCTGTAATAAATGATCTCATTTTTTGTGTCAATTTTTTTTAATATTCTAGAAATATGAATTTTTTTTTTTGAATTTTAAATATTATAATTCCTATTGTTTCAATATTGTAATTCCTATTGTATTGTCTTTTTTCTTCCTAATTTTTGAATTCATTTTTTGTGTATCCCTCATTTTTTTTGTTATTATTTCTCACTTTTTCTTATATTTTTCTCTTTTAGCATTTTTTTTATTTTTAAAATACAGTGAAACCTCTTGGAAAGCAGTCTGTATCGGCTGTCTCAATTTACGACAACTTTTGGGAGGCACAGAATTTTTTCTATAGACTTTGTATTGAAGAAGAAACCTTTAAGGTAAACCATTAAAACCTGTCCAAGCGACTGGGCTAACCTCTGCACCAAATGCAGAAAAGCTCAAATAAGGAAACACTAAGTAATATCAAGACAGAAAATATTAACAAAACAAATAAATAGATTAAAATGTATTCAAACTATGTATGTGAGGTTCTTATTTTGAGAGGTCTTTTAAACCATCTTAGAAAGAGATCTATAACCTAATGTTGCATTCAGAGTGCACTAATGACAATGCTATTAATGATTTATTTTTAGAGTAGACAGCTAAATTAGAAAAAAAAAGTTATTTTGGAAAAAACTTACCATCTCAAACAAACAAACCTCTTCTCATATTTTAAAGCTAATAATTTTGTACTATATAAAATTAAATGCAAACTTAAACAAAAACATAATTGCTTATTTAAAATAGTTCTATCATTCATAATTACTAAATTTTTTTTTACACATAATTATATGAGTAGGTTTAATTTTTATTGATGCTAAATTGTATTCATTGATCGGGTTTTCATGAGACGCCCACACAAGTGGCATTTCCGCACCAAGAAAATGACACTGACTAAATTTAAAATCGTTTGCGAAACAACAATGTACCTACGATAACATTTTGAAGTCAATGGAGGTAATCCCTATGAACGACCAATCTATATTAACGACCAATATACTGTGGAACAAAGAGTGGTCACTTCTGAGAAGTTTCACTGTATTCTTTATATCAGTTTTAGTATATATCTACAAGTTTTTTAACTCTGACATTAGGCACTTAATTTGGATATAAGATCATTAGATCTTCTCTTGTGATACTAAAGTGCTTTAGGAATTAATACTGAGATGTTTCATTACCATATTTAATTGTGATGCTTTAAAATTTCTAAATGGTCTTCATAATAATGTAGATACTTCAAAAATGTATTTTTGCTGACCTTGTTTTTTAGAATCTCTTTTAATGTTTTAATATTGTCATTAAATGATAAATTTGAAAAATTATATTGTTTTTAATTTTTTTCTGTTTTTGTCACTGTTTGTAACTGTGAATTTCATTACATTTCCTTAATTTTTCCTTTTATATTTATCCTTTACCAGTGATTTATTTTGCTTGGAGATGAATTACTACTTAACTTTATCAACATTGCTGTTACAAATCATTTCGGCTATTTTGATGTGTCCCATATTTGAAAATCTTTGAATATATATATATATTGATTGATCATATATATTTGAGACTAAAATCAATGACGCATTCAAAATTCTTTTAATAGTTTGAAAATAGCTTGTTTTTTTATATCATTGGTTTCTTCTTTATAACATATTTTTTATCAGTGTTTCACCTTTTTTACTGAGGAAGAGCTGTCCATATGTATAATTTAGATGGCTGAGCTTTTAGAGGTTGTTAAAATTAGCTCTTAATTGCAATAGTGAATTATATTTGCCACCAATATTTAATTAGGTGTATTTTTAAGCAAAATTGCTTCAAAAGTAATTGTCATTGAGAACTTAGAAGCATAAACTTAGTATTTGTATCTTATTTCATCAGAGCTTTGAAGCGTAAACAATTTTTATTTTATTAAAGCAATGCATAATTGAGTGTAAATTGATGAAAGTTTAATTTAAAAGATTATTACCCTTATCTTCAATAGAATTTGAAGTCAAAATGTATAGATCAGTTTTTATTAATATTTTTGTTAATAATAAGACTTTGGAAAATAAAACCATATATAATCTTAAAAAGAAAATTCAAATTCATGACGAATAAAATATTACGGGCAATCTCTTTCAATGAAATGTACTCCGTTAAAAAAGTGATTGAATACTAACAGCTTTTAATCAAAGTGCTTATTTCCCTCTACCCACATTTGAAATTTGCATTGACAACTTAAAATTTAAACAATTCTTTCGATGACAAACTGAAGAGACAAAACAATTAATATAACCATATAAAGATCCCAATTAGTTCAAATTACAAATATTGAATGCATGCCTAACTGATACAGTGGTGTGAATAGGCCTCATCCAGCCACATAATTTAGTGTAAAAGCTCCACCAATGCTCATTTCTTTACCCATTGATAAGACTGAAAGTGTTATAAACGGACCTTATCCGGTCATAGGAAGAAGGCAGTGGTCAAAAACATAAGTTTATTATTGGAAGAGTTTGGAGATAGGCATTTTTCCTTCATTTTCTAAAAGAGCCTGCTATGTTTTCTCGGTTAAAGGAATTCAATTTGGTTTTGGTGGATTCTCTTGAGCAAAAAATAAATAATGAATGCTCTAAAACAGGCATCATTACTTTTCTTTTATAAAATCTGAACTTGGATTTGTCTGGTGTTTTCCAATTCTTTTGAAGCTACAAGCTTGCCAGCTACTCTACTGTGCTTTTGTAAAATATTTTATAGAGTGATAGATATTTAAAAACCACAGCTTGGAGAATTTTTTGTCAATATTTCCAGCATCTTGAAAGCCTCACCACGAAAGAACTGGAAAAAAGTGGCATTGCATTTGAACTTTTAGATCATTTATATGTAATGGTGTTGAAAATTTGTTTAAATGATCAAAAAATAATGTATCAAAACATTAACTAAGCTACAACTAGAATGAATTTTTACAAAAAGCGTAGAAAGTTGACAGCCTTGAAGCTAAGAAATTAAAAAAGGTGATGTGCGATTGATAAGGAAATGAGACTTTCGTTATTTTGCTTTTGATAGGAGAATCAAATCTAAAATGTATGTGAAACCAGACTGTGTAAAATTAAAACAATATGAAAAAGTACAAAAAATATTATATAAGGCATACAATCATTATATTACTTAATTGAAGCTCCTTTTTCATTCTTAAAATGGACAAAGTTAAGAATATGTGCCATTACTTCCATGTTTAAACAGCGAAAAAGGGACTTCATTATAATTTATTGAAATTATGGTATGTTTTTTTGTGTGACATTATTTGTATGGGCTTTTTCAAATTTTTATAACTTATTTGAAATGCATTTTAAACTTGACCCTTCTTTCTTAAATAACCACAGTGACCTTAGCAGCAGCTTGTTTTCGTTTCTTTATTTTTTTCTCTTTTGTACTTTTTAAATTGGAGATGAACTGAGTATATCTTTAAGAGGAAGCCTTCCATTATAGTGCTTCTGAAATAGAATAATTTAAAAACTATGTCAAATTTTTAAATAGCCTTCAAAATGTTCAGTGTGTATAATCACTCATGCTAGGAATGTGGCTGGCTGTTAGGAACAATTCCTCTTTGCCATTTTCTTTAATATTGCAATTCTAGTTTTTTTTTCTCTCTTTTTGCTTTTTTGGTATAGTGTTAAGGAAAAGAATTGCAACCCCAATTTTTCTTATTGGGACTGAAGCTTATTTAGCCAGATACTAAACTGTAGGCAAAAATATGCCTTTGTATTTAAAATCCTTAGTGTTCATTCATTTTTTTACTGTTTGTATTTGAGGTAATATTTTTTATCATAATTTTTATATGTGCTAAATATACTGCTTGCTATTTTCTGAATTTCAAGTCATTTGATGGGAAAAGTCTATTGTGCATTTATTTTTATTTGTAATGTAGCATTTGAAAAATTCAAAAATTCTGCATTTAAAACTTGTAGATGTTCTACTATTTATTTAAATGTAAAAGTATTGTAACATGTTTAATTATAATTATCACAACTGCAAGAAACTCCAATAATTTATTTAAATTACTGTCCTCGACGCACTTGATTGTATTTCTGTTTTTCGTACCTTAGTTATTTATTCATTTACTTCTGTAGCCTTTACAACATGCTATGCAGTACAAAACCCTTTCCTTTTCATTGCTTTTTGTTATCATGTTCTCATTGTTATAATAAAGATGTATTTTTATGATCTGAATTTTGTTTTCATAATTGTTTCTTAAATTACTGTTACTTATTATGCTCTCTATTTTTATATACAGTACAGAACCCGTTATCCGGAAATCAGAAAACCGGGAAACCAAAAAACCGGAACGAAATTCGAAAAATTTTCCAACCATTTTTTAAAAAAAAAATTTTTTTTTCCTCATAAGATTTTAGTATTTTTCTTTCTTTTTCGAAAGATGTTTACCTTAGAATCATTTTGGAGATAATCATTAGTGTATTACTTCATCATTTTATCTTCCTTTTTAGATTATTTCAAAAAAAAAAATTTTTTAGTTGGGTTTAACAACAAAAAAACGGCTTTTTGTAGCGATTCAGAAAACCGGAAAAATCAGTTATCCGGAATAGCAATGGTCCCGATCGTTCCGGATAATCGGTTCCCTACTGTATATATATATATATAAATTTACTATATAATTAGGAAATATGAAGTGAAAAAACGTTAAATTATTGTTCAGTTTAGTTTTGTAATTACATAATGATTTATTGAGCACGAGGTCCATTCAGTATTGGCCTTCCATATTCATCTTTGTGCATAACTGGGAAAATTGCTCTACTTGCTAGTCCACATTGGTTATTCTTATTTCGTACCAATTTTCCAAATCCTCCTTGGCCCCATGATTTTCCCCAACTGAAAAAAAAATATGCCATTTCAAGAGTCAGAAAAAAATATGTCATTCAGAAAAGTCATTTTCAAATAAATAAAAAGCTTTTGGTGAAAATTGCATTGAATAGATATCCATTCATGTTTAATATTTTATTAGAACAGTAAAAACCTTACCTTATTTACTAGGTCATTTTTCATTATTTTTAACACTGCTTAAAAATGTAAGTCGAAGCTTATAATTCTGTTATCAATAATTGAATTTAAATAAAGTGGCAATAACTTCGTTCGATGTTTCAATTCTAATTAAGTAATCTGCACCTATTTTACATTACTTTCCCTCTGGCTTCCTGTCCAAATAGTTTTTGTTCAAAATCAATTTGTCTATTTAGTTTTAATCAAGTTTGTTATATCAAATACCCACTTCATAACCATCACATTTTTTATAAATACTTCTACAAAAATGTGATATTATCGTTACAGAAATTCCATTATTTGATGATTAAGTATTCTGTCCCTATTTTACCATAAGCTTTTAGGCCATCTAGTTTGTATTTGTTAGAGCTATTTAAAATTGTATAGCATGCATTTCTTATTTAGAAAAAGTTTAGTGATGTCCTACAGAATGTCTTAACAACAATGTAAAAATTAAGGCATACATATGGGATAAAAATTAATTAGGAAAAAATATTTGTTAAAACAATTAATTAAAATGAAAACAATCAAACCCAAAATAATGTAACCTCTTTTCCTAAAGATGTTGTATATTCTCATGATTGTTTTTCCTTTATTTTAATTAATTAAATTTTAGTAAATATTTTATATGAGTTTTTTGAGATCTATTCTTGTTTTCTATTTGTGATCATTTTCTTATATATACTATATATATATATATATATATATATATGCGTGTGTGTATTGCAGGATAAAAATTTTGTCAAAATCTAATTATATGTTTATATATATATGTATATATATATATGTATACATATATATATGCATACATACATACAGACATACATACATAGTTGAACTTATTTATTATGAGGCTCTGATTTGACAAGGAATAAATGTTTCGAAATTTTTTCTAAAAACTATGCATATAACTCAAGACAATCACGACTTATATTTAATGAGGAAATTTTCATAAAAATCTTTAAAATTCCTTACTGAAGCTGACAGAAAAGAAAAAGCTGACTTTTGACTGTTTAGGGTGATTTGATTCCTTTCAAAAGGTTTGAAAAAAAAGCTGCCTTGTGGTTCAAATTGTATTTAAGCTACAAAAGATGTTACAGTTCCTGTTTGAGAGCTAATTATGGTCCTGCGTCATGAAGCTACAGCACTTAATGAATGAATTACAATGATGTTGCTCTGCAAAACACAGAATCAATTCATCTTTTGTCATGTGAATGTGTGTATGTTTGAAACGAAATGTTTTTTATTTTTCTGAATCTCACATTGTAAGTGTTTGGAAATGATTGCTTACGCTGATACTGAGTTGAAACACAAACAAAATTCATGATTTTTTCCAACTCAGTGTAAATTATGAAAACAAATTTTAACTTATATAAATATCTTGCTCATTATGTTATATTATGGTCAACTCAGGTTTAATGAGTGAAATTTTTGGGAGGAAAACAAGTTCGATTGTGTGTATATATTTTATTTAAAAACAAATTTTTTATTTTATCAGAAAGTAGACTTGTTGCTATTATATATAAAGCTGCATACCAAGTCAATGTTTCTTGTAGATTTAGTAAAGGAGGCAGCTTATAACCATCTTTCTTCAATTCATTGGTCATGTGATCAGCCATATGGATGACGAAAATTCATGGGATTTACAATTTTAAACTATTTTTTCTGGGATTTTTTAAGTAAAAATTTATATGATCATTTAGCCTTTAGAAGGCTTTAATTATTTGATATTGTAGTTAATTATATCTTATAAAATTTTATATTTTATTTAAAAGGAACAAACACTTATCAGATATGTTCCATGCATAACTTCAAAATGTTTATAATTAAATAAAAATTTCATCATTATTGAATGGTGAAATTTTGGAAAATTTAAAAGAAGTATACTCTGATTTTAATTTTTCACCTTTATGAAGTAATTATATATATATAACATAAAAAGCTTCAATTGATCTTTTTATGTTATTCCTTTTCTGTAAATCCTTTTCTTAATTTATAATTCAAAATGAAATGCTTTCTCACACTTTTAAATTCACATCTTGTCTTCAAATCTATTTTTGGTTCAAGTATGCATTAATTAAAAGTAAGATAATTTTCCCTTTGCTCTTAGTGGGAATCTCGTGACCTATTGAATAAACCAATTACAGTTACTAAGTTTTCCCTTATTTCCTAAAGCGAGACATCTTACGGATATCCTTTGCAAGATTTTCCCAAACTTTTATGGAAGAGCACAACAATTTATCATCACTCTCTCTTTTCTCATTATCAGATAATGATTAAATAAAATAAATTTGCTCTTTTTAAAATCCTGTGCCTGTTTGTTCTGCTCACACGACTGCNATATATATGATAAACTCTGAATTGTCAAACTTTAGATTTAATTGTTCTGTGTGTGTGTGTGTTTTTTAAGTCTTTATATGCTAACAAGTCCGGGACCACTAGGCCTTGAAAAAGAACATTAGGTTCTGCAACCAATTGTATCAGATGGCAATTAAGCATTTCATCACACAAATATAAGTATTCCAACAAATCAAGAAATTTAATCGCCAATTGGGATGTCAAATGAGTTGTTCTATCCATATATGTTAGATATTCAAAACTAAATAAAAGTTTCAATGTTATTTTTTTAAAAGAATTTTATTCTTTTTAGAATTTTAACTTTCTACCTTTGTGAAGATATTCTATTTGGGAAAAAAAATCTAGCTATCGAAATATTAGTTTCAGGGAAAACTGAAAACATTCTAAAAAGAAAATGTGAGTTGTATTAAAACTACACTAACTTTAAAAAAACAAAAGCTTTAGAAGAAAAATACTTACCTATTTTTAATAAGCCAATAATCTGTTCCCATTTCAGTGCCGTACCCTATTACTGTTACTGCGTGATTCAATGTTGTATTACTACAGCCATCATAGTCATAAATACCACCCCTGAAGAAATTTGTAAAATAATGAATATCTATTAATTGAAAAAAACACAATGGACCTCTTATAATAAAATGAACACCTTTTTATAATGGAAAACCCACTATGAAGTTTTCAAAAATCCTTTTTTTTTTTCAACATAGGACATTTTAGAACATTTTACATTAAACATTTTCCTCGTCAAGATCAAGATACATATGTCCATATTATGGTCGCCTAATGCTTCAACAAATTTAATTATTTTGCCAAATACACTGCAATATGGCTTATTTTTTGTGTACAAAAATGTAATAAACTTGTTAGGATTTTAATAAATACTGATTTTTGCATTCGTACCTGTAATGTCTAAAATGTTGAGTACTTCCATCTACACCAGCTGCTACTGGTCCAAGTAATGCAACTGCCTTTAACAAAGCATCTTCGTCTCCATACGGAATTTCCAAATAGCCTCCTACTGTGGCACCTAGTCTACCTTCGTGGTATTTACAAGCTCCTGTCTGTATTTAAAAATATTAATTAATAAAACTTGATTCATTAGTTTTCTTCTGTAAAAAAAAGAGCATCGTAAACTTAGCATTTGGGATGGCAAATGAAGACTGATGTAACAAAAAAAGGCCACGTGTATTCAGCCTTATTAAAAGTGACCAAAATACAAATTCATTCAGTACATTATTACCCATGAAAGTTCTTTGTTTTGCGTAGTTCATTTATATTTTATTTCACCAGAATAAGTATTTTTTAAATTTTTTACTATTTTAATAGTCAATTTTTTAAAAGAGCTGCTTTGAGCGTTTTATTATTATTCCTATTTTTTAAATTGAATTTTAGTTTCTCAAGTTTAAATTTTTTTTTTTCATTTTGTAGCATATTATGAATGAACAAATGTTGCATAGAAACAGGTATGAGGAAAAGATAGAGATTATGAAATACTTTCTACTAGTTTAACTTCGAAATTTTTGTCACATGAAATTACTTTGAAGTTTCAGGTATTTGATAAGTTTGTCTTAATTCGCTCAATTTGTTTTGATATGTTTAATTATATTCTATCAGCAAACCATCTAAACGCATTATAATAAGAATAATTTACTATCTGATAGAAAAAAACAGCATTCAATTAACGCTAGAAAGACTGAAACTTAGTCTGTACCTATATTGCCCAAAAGCAGTCAAAATTACTGGATTCTGAAAGAATAAATAATGTGTAAAGAGACTTAATTTTTAATATTTAAAAACAATTCTTTAATATTAAAGCACTTTAATTTTTAATATTTTTTATATTATTTACCGTTATATGACAAGTTATTAGTAAATATTAACTGTAAAAAAATTATATGTTGTACAAAATTCTAAGAAATTGTGTCATTATATACATCATAGTTTTTCTAATAGAAAATAAAAAGCAGTCCAAATGACTTCCTAGGGCAATCTAGTGTTAAAGAAATGCAATTTTACAAAATTCGTGTTTAGGCATTATTAGCTTGATGCAACGAAACTATTTTATCTTTAACTTAACGCAACGTTGCTAGATAGCCGTCCCTGCTATATTTAGAGGGGGGAATAGAATTTCAGGTGATTTCTCCACAATTGGAATGCGTTAGTTATCCAGACTTGAGTAATAGAAACTCAGAGTCCAATTCATACAAAATAGGCTTATTTCTAATAGACTGAATAATTTTAATTGCTTCACTGACAAACGAATTATTTCTATTGCAGAGTGTTCTGTAATCACCATCCTTAATATAAATACTATGTTTTTAAAATCCTTGCCTTTAAATGAGAAAAGTAATTTTCAATCTAGGAAGGTAAAAAAATTCGTTAAAATCATGTTAATTGCTATTCAGGTTAGCGAAAATAAATCAAAATCAGCTTTATGAAACTTGAAGGGGTTGTACTAACTGCCCCTCCTCTATGTTTTCTCCAGAAAACAAACAGACTTGATGTTTTTAATATCGCTGTCCTAGTTAATGATAACTTTTTTTTTTAATTTCCCTTTTTTTGACAAAGATTCTAAAAATAAATATTAAGCGTTACCTCCTTTGTTAAGGGATAAGATGCCGAGGTGTCTACCCCACCAGCGAATGCTGCATATTCAAAAGCTCTGCACATCTGTCCACCTTCGCAACCTTTGTTTCCTGTTGTAATAAAATTGATATAATTATATATTGTTCTTCGATTTTGCTCTATAAACTGCCAGATATGGATATCTATAACTACTAGATTAAAAAGTACTTTTAATTATTGGATTGTTGTTGTAGTTCATTTACGCCGCACTAGAGCTGCACAATGGGCTATTGGCGACGGTCTGGGAAACATCCCTGAGATGATCCGAAGACATGCCATCACAATTTTGATCCTCTGCAGAGGGGATGGCACCCCCTCTTCGATAGCCCAACGACCTGCACTCGAAGTCAAATACTTTACGGTAGAACAGTTTAACAATGACAAATACAGCACACCCTCGGTCCCTACTCAGACTGATCCAAGTGCTCAGCCACCCGCACATTGACTATAGCGAGTGATGCTTGACTTCGGTGATCTGCTGGGAACCGTGTCTTAACAATCAGTCCACTGCGGGACTTTAATTATTGGAAATAGGATATTTTCCAAGTATTTTTCCTTTCATTAAATTAGGATCTGGCGAAAGAATTTTCCTTGCAGTAGAAAGTATACAGAAAAAATACTGAACAACCGAATAAAATATAATTTCTCAGGTCCCGCAGTGGACTGATCGTTAAGACACGGTTCCCAGCAGATCACCGAAGTCAAGCATCACTGGCTGCGGTCAGTGTGAGGGTGGGTGACCACTTGGATCAGTCTGCGTAGGGACCGAGGGTGTGCGGTAATGGTCCTCGCTAAACTGTTCTACCGTAAAGTGCTCGACTTCGCGTGTAGGCCGTCGGGCTACCGAAGCAGGGGTGCCATCCCCTCTGCAGAGGATCAAAATTGTGATGGCATGTCTTCGGAGCGTCATCAGGGATGTTTCCCAGACCGTCGCCAATAGCCCAATGTGCAGCTCTAGTGTGACGTAATTGAATGACAACAACAATAATTTCTCTATATAGCCAAGAAAAAAACTAACAATGGAGATATTTAGCTCTGATTTCTCTAATAATAGAGTTTGGAACTCATGCAAAAAATACGTAGTAATGATTTTTTTTCCTAACAAATCGCGCTGGGAAAACGCATTGTAAAAACAATGTTTCACACACATTTGAATTTAAAATTTTTCCAAAATAAATATAAGTTAAAATTTTTATTGATTTATACGTTACTTTATATATTTTATGCTACGTTTGTGCATTTCTAATTTAATTTTATTGAATAATTTTTTTAAATCTCTCAAAATAAAATTCAGTATATGACAAGTATTGGTATTAGTTGATGATGACCGTAATTGTAAGCTCATCTTCGCTATGAATTTTTCGAATTATTTGCATTTTCGTTACAGGGGGAGAAACTTCCCACTGTTAGCCGACAACAAAGGGATCCCAATCTATTTATCTGTCTTTGCATATTTTGCTTATCCACTATAGTCAGTGACGCCTGGTGGCTGAGTAATAACGCTTCGCGCTGCCGTGCCACCGGTCCTTGGTCCGGACAAGATTGACTCTTCAGTGGGTCGATAAAATGAGTACCAAGCATGCTTGGGAACTAAACACTGGGGGTTCCGCGTTGGCCTGACCACCCAACTGGAACATCTACTCTTGCACCCTAGAGCCCAATGATCAAGAAAACTGAGATGGACACAGTAGGCCTTGGCCCTCTATGGACTGTCGCACCACTGAGTTTAGTTTAGTTTACCATGGTCGATAGAAGCCAAGAGCAATATATCAATCGATTAGCCATTGCCGAGATACGAATTTGAGTCGTTCAACAAGAAGTAAGCATTCATAAAGTATATCCTATGTTTCAATTGGGTATAATATATCCTACGTCACAGGTTGTGTTGTTCCTACTAAATTTAACCCATGAACGGCATTTTCTGCGAGCCTAACTTCAAGCCACAAATAAACAAACGAAGTGTTCGATCGTTTAAATAGCTGCTCGCCAGATTTTATTGCATTATAAAGAAAAGTTATTGAAACTAAATAGAACTAAATAAACAACAACAACTAAAACAAATAACAACAACTACTAATAACAATAACTAAATAAACAACAACTAAATTCCATTCGTTTAGCATTGCGTCATATGTTGTTCCTACTAAATCGAAGTAGTTGTGTTTTTTTCATATTATACCCAATTAAGTACCTTTTCTGAATTCTGCTTTTTCATCGCAATTACGATTTTTATTATCTTAAACAAAATAAAAAATTATTAGTACTCGAATGTATCATCATCATAGTGATTTTTTCTTCATATTATAATTTTTTATGGTAATTTTAAAAATAGGATGTACTTTTAAATCTTGCGATGGTGCGCCTATGTACGCCACTGCATACGAAAGAAGACTCATTAGTGCAAGAAGAACGTCTCATTAGTGCTCGCTGCTTGCACGAATTAAAGAAAAAATACAATAAAAATTCTTTGGAAAATTTAGATTTAATCTGGTTCATGCACCAAGCCTTTTCTAGAGATGACATTGACAACTTGATACAAAAGATAATTAATATGAAGTTTGAAAATATCTTAGAGTCTTATTGGACATGTGCCTTGAGCATTCTTTCTAAAATAAGTCCCTGGATATACATTTTCTTAAGGTTGGATTTATAATTAGAAACAATGTACATAAATTACCTGCTTGGTTTGAACAATCTATTAGATTCTGCTCGCTGAGTTTAACAAGTTTTCCAGTCATTCTCTTTAGTTGCCCTTCTAAGGAAGCTACTGAACAAAACGCCCAACAGGCACCACATTTTCCCTGATCAAAAATAAAATAGATTTGTTTGGTATAACAGACTAATCAACAAACAAAAGTACTAACAGGTTACAAACAAAAGTAAGTAACGGGCACATTTTCCCTGATTAAAAATCAAATAGATTTGTTTGGTATAACAGACTAATCAACAAACAAAAGTAATAACAGGTTACAAACGAAAGTAACAGGCACCACATTTTCCCTGATTAAAAATCAAATAGATTTGTTTGGTATAGCAGACTAATCAACACACAAAAGTAATGCAGCCAGAAATACAAATTAGTCAGCACACAATTCTCGATTAAATAATTTTTTCTTCTTTTCAGAAATACGAGTGAATTTATTAATGTAATTTCTTGTAATTTAAAAGGAATTAATAATAATAAAACTGCACCTCTGTGGAAAGTGATTAATCCACAGCTTTATTAATTTTTTGTTTAATTGGACAATTCTCAAGCATTTTCTAAAAAATTACTGATTTAAACAACATTATGATGAAGCAGCTTATTCCAGAATTGCCAACTTGTACGGTAGTTGAGGAAAATAATTCTTAGAGGTAGGCTACTATATTTTAATGTATAAATCTTAGTTTTCAAAATTTTAAAGTAAATTGTTTTGTTTACCATAGCAAATCAGCAATCCAAACGTATATATTTCAGATTTGCAAGTTAAGCAGTTATACGGTGGCGAAGTTTCTTAATTTTTAGAAAATTCTTCTAAGTTTATTCATTCTGTTACCATTTTGTAAAATCTTCCCTAACGACCATAGAAGTGGGCAATTATGTAATTTAAATCCAGTTTAGATTTTTTTCTTCCAAACTACACTGTTAGCAATTTTTTCTCTTCAAAAGTATAAAAATATCAGCTATTTGGAGCTATCATTTCATTTTGACTTTCTTTAAACTTATTTGCTTTCTATGCTAAGTATAGCGTTAATTCTGAAGATCCCACAATTTTATTTTGAAGTATTTTAATTTTGCAACTAGGTTGATGTAATGGAATGCGAAACAAAAGATTATACTAACTTTAGAGAACAAATCTGAAAACTATTTTGTTTACTTTCTCTAATTTGTTAAATGAAGATCACAAGAGGAAAGAACGATTTATGTCCATTTTAAGAAAAAACAAATTGAAAGTAATGAGAATTTTCATGAGCAGATATACATTGAAAGCATAAAAATAAACAGGAATGTCTCAAGTATTTATTCACATTTTTCAAGAATTTTTGACGTTGAAAAAAAAATTTAAAAATCGAGTTGGACAAGAACAGTTTTCTCCTCAAAATTTCTTCAAAATCAATACTTCCTCTCTAGTACCAACACTTCCCAGAAAAAAGAAAGCCTCAGTACATATCAATTTCATAGTCCGACTAAACGAACATAAACTGCGCAGTGGATAAAAATTGAGAAAGATGTCATTACGTTTGGACTACTAAAGGGTCAATTTTTTGTTTATGGTAACCCTACTAAAATAATAAATAAAAACTTAAATAAATAAATAACGAAAGATAATGAAAAGACACCGCTAAAATTTGGGTGATTAAGAAATTTTCCTACCAGCAATGTTTTTTCGATATCGAGTTCATTTTCACCTTTCGTTCGCTTTCTGAATTTTCCCAGTCCATTTCTATTCTGAAGTCGTCCTGCCCCCAGACGTTTGTGAGGTTTTCCTAAAATTCTCGAGACTTTGATTGTACCAAAAAGTTTTTTAGGATCTATAAATCCTGATGCTTAGCAGCCTTCATGGAGACACTGGTATCATAACGTTTTCTTTTTGGCGACGTCTGTGCTGATGGCTTATTAATATTGTTTTTCACTTCTTTGCGTCCCCGTGAATGATCTGCTAATCCTGATGTTTAGCAGCCTTCATGGAGACACTGGTATCATAAAGTTTTCTTTTTGGCGACGTCTGTGCTGATGGCTTATTAATATTGTTTTTCACTTCTTTACGTCTCCGTGAATGATCTGCTAATCCTGATGATTAGCAGCCTTCATGGAGACACTGGTATCATAAAGTTTTCTTTTTGGCGACGTCTGTGCTGATGGCTTATTAATATTGTTTTCCACTTCTTTACGTCCTCGTGAATGATCTGCTAATCCTGATGCTTAGCAGCCTTCATGGAGACACTGGTATCATAAAGTTTTCTTTGTGGCGACGTCTGTGCTGATGGCTTATTAATATTGTTTTTTACTTCTTTACGTCCCCGTGAATGATATGCTAATCCTGATGCTTAACAACCTTCATGGAGACACTAGTGTCATAAAGTTTTCTTTTTGGCGACGTCTCATGGCTTATTAATATTGTTTAACTTCTTTACGCCCCCGTGAATGACTTACAAATGGAGCGGTAGTTGTGAATATAATTATCGTGTTTGGACAGGAACCTCCTGTACGGTTCATCTTCACTGTGTAATAACTCTCCAGGAAAACTGATTTTACACGTTAGTGCTTTGTAAAATTTTAGTAGTCCTGACAAATTGAGAACATATGGCGACAAAATTGACATTTTTGTGGAAAATGGACATAAACCGTTCTTCCTCCTTTATCTTCAAATGTTTTTTTTAGGAACAATCATCCATTCACACAGTTTCATACTCTTAAACATTAAGCTGTTACATTTGAAAATAATTGGCTACAAAATTGTTTTACCTGATTTAAAACTTCAGTAACGTAACCTTTTTCGTTCCAGTCAAGTGCAGTAGGTATGTCATTTGTTTTAGGAGGTGAGTAAGTCATGCTACTATTACTTTTGCATTCCATCTCGTTTTCTAAACCTGTTAATGAGTTTTGGAAATCTTCATGATCCTAGAAATTATATGTGGAAAAGTTTAATTTTGTATGACTAAATTAGTAAATTATTTTATTTTAAAATGTGCATGTACAGTGTGCGGAAAAAAAAAAACGACCACCCTGAATTACTTTTGATCTTCACGTTCATTCTTAATGGCTCGAGGGGGTGACCTCAAATATGTTAATTAATAAGCGCAGACGATATTTTAAGCTACGAAATCAGACACGAAAACGTACTTTCTCTGAATAAACGCGCCTTTTTCTGACGAATTCGGATTTCGGACCCGATTCTAGGAATCAGACCCGATTCGGATTTTAGGAAATATGGTCCCCACAGTTTGGCCAGGAGAGTGATTCAAAGTGTAGACCCTTAAATGTTTATTTTACTTTTTGCGGATTTCACAATATCTTGAGAACTTTTTTATCGAGTTGAAAAATTTTTCCACACAGTCATAAAATTCGTTTACAAGGTCACAGTCATAAAATTATAATTATATTAAAATAATTTTTAGTAAATATTTATTGTATTTCTAATTATTTTATTAAGAAACAGTCAAAAAAATTTTAAATTGTGAGGTATGCAATTTTTTACGTCATTTTAAAGTATGTAACTTTACATGGCAAAATACAAAATTTGAGGGAAATCGGTTGAGTATTTTCTGAGAAATCGAATTTTAAATGAATAGCTTCTTTTAAAAACGATTTCTCAGGAGCAATTCAACCGATTTCGCTCAAATTTTGTATTTTGCCATATAAAATTAGATTCTTTTAAGTGGCGTAAAAAATTGTATACCTTACAATTCAAAATTCTTTTTGACCAAATTTTTTTTTATATATATATAAAATAATAAATGTTTGCTGAAAGTTATTTTTTGACATAGAATTATTTTTGAATAAACGAATTTTATAATTGTGTGCAAAAAAACGAAACGAAATACGCAAAACGAAACGAAATATAACGAAATGCGCAAAAAGTAAAATTAACATTAAGTGGTTCAAACTTTGGATCGCTCTTGTGAACCCAACAATTGGGACAAAATTTTCCACATTGCTGTTACCTCCTATATTTCGGGGATCAAAAACCCGTATCCGTCGAAAAAAAGGTATGTTTCAGAGAAAGTAAGTTTTTGTGTCAGATTTTGTTATTTAAAATATCGTCTGCTCCTATTAATTAGCATTAAGGTCATCCCCTCGAGTTATTAAGATTGAATCCTAGAACGCGAAGATCCGATTATTAGATCAAAAGTTGTTCAGGGTGGTCCGTTTTCTTTTCTTTTTTTTTTCGCACTATTTAATCGGACGAAAAAGAAAGAAAGAAAAAAAACCTTTTCACCAAAAAAGAAAGTTTGTAATTTATTTATTTTTGTAATTTTATCTGGTTGTTTTCTGTCACGATCCTGTTCAATGAAAAAAATCACTCTGAATAACTTTTGTTTTTACAATCTGATTTTTACAAACTAAGGAAAAATCTTAATAATTCAAAGGGGTGACCTTAAACATGTTCATTAACTAGTGCTGCCTATGAACTAAGTTACATAATTAGACAAAAATTTGTATTGTATATTTTTTGAATAAATATACCTTTTTTGTTTCAACGATTTTGGAATTTTGACTATCAAATCAAAAAAAAAAAAGAAAAAAAAAAAAAGGGATGTCCGCACTTCTTGAGTTTGTCACCATATACCGGAAAATTTTAAGACAGATCGAAAATTTTTGCGACATAATTATTAAATTCATTTATCTATCCATGTAAAAAATAATTTTTTAAAGTTATCTTATTTAATAATGGCTGAATTATTTTTAATTGTGAAGTATACAAATATATTTTCTTCTTTTTAAACTGCATATTTTAAAATTCCGGTATACAAAACTTCCGCAGTGGACTGATCGTTAAGACACGGTTCCCAGCAGATCACCGAAGTCAAGCATCACTGGCTGCGGTCAGTGTGCGGGTGGGTGACCACTTGGATCAGTCTGTGTAGGGACCGAGGGTGTGTGGTATATGTCCTCGTTAAACTGTGCTACCGTAAAGTGCTCGACTTCACGTGCAGGTCGTTGGGCTACCGAAGTGGGGGTGCCATCCCCTCTGCAGATGATCAAAATTGTAATGGCATGTCTTCGGATCTTCCTCAGGGAAGTTTCCCAGACCGTCGCCAATAGCCCATTGTGCAGCTCTAGTGCGACGTAAATGAACTACAGCAACAACAACAAAACTTGAAAAAAATTGGACGAATAATTTTTCACAAATAAAAATTTAAAAATAGAGCTTTTCGATAGAAAGATAAACTATTCGACTGATTTCATTCAAATTTTGCATTATGTTATTTAAAATTACAAATATTAAAATGAAGTTACGATTGGTATGCTTTACAACTGAAAGATTTTTCATCCCTTATTATATTAAATAATAAATACTAATCAAAGAAAATTTAAAAACTTGGATGTATCTTTGTAACAAATGAATTTAACTCATGACTAAACTATTGCGACCATATTTTCCGAAGTTCGGTTTTCCTAATCGGTTAATGGTAAAAAATATAAATCAGTTGAAAATTTTTTTTGTTTCTTCAAAAAAAAAGTACTGATTCCGTAGCTTAATTAATGTTGTTGTTATTGTTGTCGTATGCCTAGTAAGGCAGAGGGGTGCGATCTATGGCCAAGAATTCGACTTCTGCCACACCCATACGTCACGCCCGTTTATAGGGCGGACCCATTCATACATTCATTCATTCATCCACAGATCGTAATTTTGACCTGAATCAGAGAACGATCAATCTCCAATCCAGTACCCCCAGAGGTATTGACCGACCAGGCTATCCCGCTTAATTAATAGTTAGCATTAATTAATTAACGCATTTGGGTCATCTTTTGAAATATTATGATTGGCCCTCTATTTCGTAAATATCCAATCATTAGGGCAAAAGTTCAGAGTGATATCTTTGTTATTATAATTAAAATGTTTATTACAATAAAGATATCACCGTTATACTACTTTTTATTGTATATCATCTCAGTGACTAGTTCTGAAAAAATTGAATAACGTTGCGACTGCACATTAATGTATCAATAAATCAAATAATCTATGTCTGACTGACAAATCCTGAGAGTTTTAGCAACTATTTGTATTTCAACGTAAAAATATACCTATTTGAAACGTAATTTGTATTTTAACGAAAAATACACCTATTGAAATACACCTATTTTAACGTAAAAATACACTTTATTTGAAATAACCATATAGAATATGGCAGTAGAAATATTTAAATTTGAACAATTTTCTAGGTAGCGCTTCGCTTTCCCGTACCACAGGTCCTTGGTTTGATCCTCGGGCCGGGCAAGGTTTACTCAGCCTTTCATCCCTTCAGTGGGTCGATAAATGAGTACCTAGCATGCTTGGGAACTAAACACTGGGGTTCCACGTTCGGCTGGCCACCTGACCGGAACATCTGCTCCTGCACCTCGGAGCCCAAGGTCAGGAAAACTGAGATGGGCACAGTAGGCCTTGGCCCTCTATGGGCTGTCGCGCCACTGAGTTTAGTTTTTTTTAGAAAAATTTTCTACAGAAATACGTAGTTTTAGTGTAAAATATTACCATATCTGAAAATTGATTCATTCCGACATGAAAACTTTCTTGTCCAGCATGATATGCCATGTTGTGATCAAACATCAATTTCATTGATTCCATCCATCTTGGTTTACGTAATCTATCTTCTTCGGGTGTATAATCTTTTTCATAAAATTTCTAAATGAATAAAGGGAAAAAATATACAGCTGGCTACAGTGTACTTCTTAACTTACACTGACTTTGTCTAAACATAAAACAATTTAAAAAATGAAATAATAATGCCATGTGAGCAGACATGCGGTCATTCGATATTATTATGAAACACTTCAGTGTCAAAACACAGAGTTAAAGTATTCTCATTCTGTGTTTCGACACTGCAGAAAGTGTCGAAATGAAGTATCGAAATGAAACGATTGTGTGGCCCTTTATTTTCTAAATAAATAAAAGGAAAAAATATACAACTGGCTACAGTGTACTTCTTAACTTACACAGACTTTGTATAAACATAAAACAATTTTAAAAATGCAATAATAATGCCATGTGAACAGACATGCGGTCATTCAATACTATTATGGAACACCTACTTCAGCGTCAAAACACAGAGTTAAAGAGTATTCTCATTCTGTGTTTCGACACTGAAGAAAGTGTCGAAATGAAGTATCGAAATGAAACTATTGTGTGACCCTTTATTTTCTAACTAAATAAAAGGAAAAAATATACAGCTGGCTACAGTGCACTTTTTAGCTTACACAGACTTTATATAAGCATAAAACAATTTTAAAAATGCACAAATAATGTCTTCTGAACAGGCATACGGTCATTTGATACTATTATGAAGCACCTACTTCAGTGTCAAAACACAGAATTATGACTGGCAGCGCTCAGTGAGCTGGTGGTTGACCATTTTGATCAGCCTGGAAAGGGACCGCAGATGCGCGGGATCGGCCCTCGTTAAACTGTTCAACCGTAAAGTGCTCAACTTCACGTGGAGATGGGGCTGCCATCCCTTCTGCAGCGGATCAAAATTGAGATGGCATGTCTTCAGATCATCCTCAGAGATATTTCTCAGATAGTCGCTAATAGCCCATTGCACGCAGCGGTGGCTGAGGGGATAGAGTGTTCGCCTTCCTATGAGATGGCCCATCTTCGAATTTCAATGGTGGCTGGTTGATACGAATTCTGCTACCGGCTTGTACCGACCACAGTGCTGACGTAAATATATCCTCAGTGGTAGATAGGTCATGAATTAGAATCCTCTTGTCACCGGGCTAACCGTTGAAGATTTTTGCGGTTTTCCTCTCCACGTAACGCAAATTCGGGTTAGTTTCATCAAATAGTACTCCCCGAGGGCTAGTTTGACTCAATGCTTGATCCAGGAGCTCCCATGTCAACCGGGTAAAAAATTACAAGGCTACGGAGTTGAACAATGATAGTCGTAAATTCAATTAAGTCGACTGTTCAACGCCGGTTATGCCCTATTTACCAATAAGTATTTGGACACCTATGCAAATGAATATATCTGCGGTCCTGAGATACGTTGCGCCCTCCGCCAGTATATATCGTGTAGGGAACAACATCGGCATTAGTCCCATGCAAGATGCCTACTGCACTATTTTGGATGACAATGTGCTTCCTACGTTGAGGCAGTTTTACGGGGTGGACCGCTGTTACTTCCAGGACGACAGTGCCAGCTATCATGTTGCGAGGGTCACCAAAGCTTGATATGGTGCCAATGGGGTTAATCGAATGGACTGGCCTGCCCAGACCTGAGCCTGAATCGAGAACCTCTGGGACGAGTTGGATCGCTGAATTAAGGGGTGTACTACCCGTTTAAAATCTGTGAATGAACTGACATGTCTTCTCCAAGCCGAGTGGAAGAAAATACCACTAGTCGTCACACAGGGACTTGTGGAAACTATGCCCCGGAGGGTTCACGCTGTAATTGCCTCTCGTGGAGGCTCTACCAACTATTGATTATGAATAAAGTTAGTTTTTCTTTTCAATCACCCGTGTCCAAATACTTATTGGCTGTTGTTGTTGACGTATGCCTGTTTAGGCAGAGGGGGTGCGATTGTTCTTTGTTTTCCAGTGGCGCCATATATGGCCAAGAATTCATACTTATTGGTAGATAGTGTATAAGGAATAATAAAATAGTCCATTGTGCAGCTCCGATGTGACGTAAATTAAATGCTACTTATAATATGTACCGTCTTATTTGCATAATTATCAATTTTTTATCCATTAATATTTTGAGTAGACTTTTAGCATTAGTGAGGGACATTAAATAACGTTTTCTTAAAAACGCATTTTGCTAGATGATCTCCATATCTCTTACCCTTCTCTACTAAGCCGATTTTGCTTATTACATAATGGTTAATATGACATTATATTACTTATAACACTTTCATCATTGTTTAAATTATAACACATTTCTAGAAAAAAAGCTTAAAAAAAAAAAAGTGCTTAAAAGAAAAATTTAGAAATTTATATTATTTTCATAAAAAAAGTAAGAGACCCATATATATTTTAATAATTTGTTATACATGTAATATCTAATTAATCAATGATTGATGTTGAATTTAAAGATGAGATATCTTACTTTGTATTCGTCCCAAAGGTTATCATTTCCTGTTCGAATAACAATTAGGCGATTGGAAACTAAAGGAAGTATTAATAATAAAAGTAAAATGGCCAGAGTTGGCTTCATTTTTTGACCTGTAAGAAAGCGAAAGTATTAAGTTATAATACAAGGTTATTAGTTATTGTGTTGAGCAATTTTAAGACTTTTTGATGGTAGTCTTTATTTTTTCTATTACATATCACAAGGAATGTAACCATGGTCTTCTATTTTTATTAGCGCACTTTTATTACTTAATAGTTTTGGATGATGATATCATGAGGTTAAACAATTGAATCGACTTTCAATTGCTTAACTGCCTTCAGTAAATCTATGAGTATTTTCGAAAAAAGGGTACACATCCCTAAAAGGCTACATTAAGACAATGAAAACCATACCCATCAGGTTGGCTATGCATAACCATAAGATTTACAAAGCAAATCCATAGCCTTAGTGGTTTTTTACCATACAAGAACAATTTTTTTTTGTAACAATGACGAACAAACAATGTACAAAGCAAAACCATAGCCTTAGTGGTTTTTTACCATTACAAGAAAAAAAAAATTTGTAACAATGACGTAACAAAATTTTTTTTTATCCCAACAAAACAAGTTCTTACAACAAAAATCTGCCACTGCGGCTCAAGTGTTTTATTAGGAAAAAATTGCGATAGTGAAAAAATTGTAATAGTGAAAAAAGTTGTGATAGTGAAAATCCGTAATAAAACTGTTTTTTTTCAACAAAACAAGTTCTTACAAAAAAAATATGCCACTGCGGCTCAAGTGTTTTATTGGGAAAAAATTGTGATAGTGAGAATTTCACTTCATTATTATATCAATTTGACTGTAAACTCAAATAGCAATTTTATTTATATGCTGTTTAAAAATATAAAGTAGTTGTTAAAAAGTATAGAAAATAATCATAAAAGAATTGAAGAAAAGGTTAAATTATATTATGAAACTCAAAACTGCATGGCAAAAACTAGAATTTCAATTGATGGTTTTAATCCATTTTTTGTTAGGTTGAAAAACCGTTTTGCCAACAAAACGGTTTTAAATCATTAAATCTGTGGAGAAATAACGAGTATTTTTTACAGTGCATGATATGAGCTTAAGTTGCTTCTGAAAGCTTTGAAAGCTTACAAATTACTGATAAGTGTTACCAATGACATAATTATCCTTCTTGTTAATTATATCAAGTAATTAGTTACATCAAGTTATTAGTTACTTCATCCTGCAGATTAATCACGTTATTAGTTAAATGAAGTTATTATCAACACTCTGTCCACAGGATGCTTACTACCTTGAACACCGCAAATATTTTCCCTCATTTTTAATCTGAAACCATAATTTTGTAACAAAATATGCTATGAGTTACATGTAGTATTTAATGTGAGTTAAATGATGTGTTTAACTTATTTCAATTTTTAAGTACGCTGATTTTTGTCACCGTTCGAGACTTCAAGAATTCAATATTTAATTTTTGAAAAATTGAATAAAATATAAAGAGAAAGTGTAAATGTAGTTTGAAAGAAAAAACGTTTCGTAGATTCCAAAATAAAATGACAATCTAATCTGTAGAACTTAAAACTTTTTTAAAGCCAGTAGTATAAGCAAACTGCTGTCTAGTCAAAAAAAAGTTGGTGTATATCTGTTCAGTATCTTTAAAAGCTAATTAAAGAGGATTTCATTTAGTCAATATTCCTCTATTACAAGGGATTTTCATTAACACTTGGCATCACCTCCTACATCAGAAACCCACCACACGGTATTTTATAAGTAGTGTACGCAGACTATTTAAAAAGTGTACCAGTTGTGCGCATGTACCCAAATTCTTATTTAAAAGTAATTGAGATAATTTTACCATATATATTTGAGAATTAAATCTGTAGTGGCTGACAAGTGAATAGGACAAACCAATCATATTCATAGTTTAAGCAAATTTTTAGACATATATTTGCTACCACTTTCTTATTTTTACTAGATTTTCTATTAAATGGCTCTTTCGTAAACTGGTTTGCCTTCATAGTGGTCTGATCAAACTACTCATAAGAAACCGTGTGGAGGCTTGGTCCCTTTCAATGCTAATAAGTTTGTAATTATCTGTCAATCAAAGCTTGGTTCGACAAAGGTATAAAATAATTTTAATAACGTTTGCTAAATCATGTTTGTCTGAGGAAATGCTTGTCGAAACCTTGCGACGGTGGCTACTATATACAAAGCTGCCAAACTCATTTTGAACAGGGATGTACACCCTTTTCTACTGTGATTAGAGAATCCGGCAAATATACTCAAAAGTTCCTGGTTTAATCCAAAGAACATATCTCACGCAATTCTAATGCTTGGGGGTAACTGTACAAAACTGCCTATCACACCCTGATTGGTGCTGTACACATTTTTCCACGTCATTTAGAGCTTCCGGTTATGGGCCTGAAATTCCCTAATATGATCTCTGTCGGTGCCAAAGAGCATCTCTCGTGCAATTCTAGCGTGTGTCGGCAAACATACATAACTGCCTATCTCACCCTGATTAGAACTATACACCTTTTTCCACTTTGTTCACAGCCCTCTGTTATGGATCTAAAATTCTCTAGTATGATCTCAACCGGAGCCAAAGAACATCTATCATACAATTCTAGTATGTGTTTCTAAACATACAAAGTTGCCTATTTCATCCTGATTGGGGCTGTATACCTCTTCCACGAAGTTAAGAGCCTCCGGCTGCGAACTCAAAATTTCCTGGTTTAATCCCTGCTGGTGCAGACGAGCAATAGATCACACTGATGAATACAGACAACAAACACGCAACTCCATCATTTCTAGACAAAGCTGCAGTACGCTTCAACCACCTTGACTCGACTCATACAATGCATGACTCTTAATTAACTTAAAGCTCAAACTGCACTGAAATGGTGACTTGCCACATGACCACGCGACCTTTCAATCACGAGAACACTTAAGTCTGACAATGAGTCAAACTTAACTCGGTCACCAGGGAAGTGTGTGCAGCGACTTCAATATGAATATTTGTAATTCATCCTAGTCGGGGGTTAAAGCATCCGGCTACGGATTTAAAGATCCTTGGTACGCTCCCAGAAAGCGGGGTATGTAAATCGTACTTTGTAAGGAGCACACAAGCCTAACTATGCATGTGTAATTATTAATGAACAATTGATAAGAGACCACCTTGGCCGAGGGATTTTGCTGTTCTGTCAAACGATATGCAGCGGTAGTGGGTTCGAATCCCAACGTGACCCTGAATATATTGTTGTATGTCCTTCTTTATCTTGTACTATCTGTACACTTCGACAAAAGCTTATAAAACATACATGTAATGAGTACACAAGCCTAAGTATGCGTTACAATTAAATTTTTAAAAAACTGAAAATTATTTCATTATAGCATTTTAGAATATTAATTTGTCTATTTATGAGAATTTCTGGTAATGCATATACTGTCTTAAATTTTAAAACTAAACAAAAAATTGATTTTTAATTACTTTTTAGGGGTTGAAAACTAGGGAAAACCCTCGATACTTAGTCCCAACTTTCCCGTCTCAACATTAAAAAATATTTTTTGTGAACTTTCATTTTGTTCTTTGTTTCAATTTCAATGTGAAACTTTTTTATATATTTTTTAAATTCTGTTTCGATGTAAAAAACTTTTTACCTTTTCTTCATAAAGACATTTATGAAGAAACAATATTTAATATTCGCTATTTTTAGCGTTTATTAGCGCATTTTTTGTATAAGCGATTGTCTGGTCCAATACCGTAGTTTTACCTAAAATAAGATATTAATTGATACAATTACCAATACATAAAAAATATACAACAACTGAAACATAACTGCTTAAACATTCTCTTCATTTTCTGAGCGTTAACTTGTCTTCTATAATCATTGATTTTAATATTTTGTTAATTGAAATATAATTTAATTTTTTCAGTTTATGCTTGCTGACTTGCTGGAGATAACTTAATGCAAACATCCAACTTGAAAATATATTTACTATTTCAAACTTTTTTGAATATATTTTTTTTGTGTCTGGGAGGTAATTTGGTCCAAATATACCCAAATAAGATTAACAACAAAATAAAATTGCCTAAACGTTCTCTTAATTCTCTGATAGTTGACTTGTATTTCTAGTAGCCAATTTTGATATTTCGTTAAACGATGTGGAATTGGGTTTTTCTGAAAACATTTTCTTCAATTTCATTTGAATATTTTCAGTTGATGCTTAATAAAAGGTTTCACTATCCGAAAATTACTTTTTTTCTTTTAATTCGAATGAATAAAAGTAAGAAATCCAAACAAAAAACAACTTACCTTCTCAGACGTCTTAATTCTTAAAAGAGTGGATTAATAGTGAAGCTGGAAGTTATGCTATTGTACAAGCTAAAAATTAAGATTATCCAAAATTGAAAAAAAAAAATATTGTGTGTCCAGCAGTTTCACGACTGATTATCAAACATATTAATTTTTAACTATTGACTTTGACGTAAAGAAGAGGTGTCTTTTCTGCCAAACCATTTATTTAACGCCAAGCACAAATGTGAAGAAGCTAGCCGTTAAAACTACCAAGGTAAGCAAGGTTCTGTAAGTGCTGATCACTATCGCATCTATTCTCATTTCTTCAGTGATTAAAGTGCAAAAAAATGTATTAAAAATTTCATGACTGAGAATCATTTAGCCATTTACGATTTCTGATACAAGTTGATGGCTTGACTTCAAATAATATACAGCAAATGCTACCTAAAAGAAAATTTAGCGTCAAATATATTGGTATATAAAAAATGTTGTTGTATTTTATCTATATATTCAAAAAATTCTAGATTCGTATACAGTTTCAAAGCGTGAAAAAATGCCAGGTGAAATGTAGTTTTTTTTTTTTTTTTTACCTGAAGTATCTCATTTGCACCAAACATATTTTTATCGCATTCCAGTGAATGGGAAATTAAATCATCCTTTACAGCTTGGAACAGTTTGCTAGAATAACTTTTATGTATTATACATCAGTTCGTCTTTTGCTAATATTATGACTTTGAGAATATGATTTAACGCGATCAATAGAGCCGAGATTCAGAATCGTGTAAATTATCTTTATGTAAAGTTCATGATCATTAAAAAAATGTCTATTGGTTGAGGAAGAAATACTGATATCATAACTAAGAGATATTTAAAGGAAAAAGATATCCTCAACTTGAACGAATTTCAGAAAGCATGAAATAGCGCGTTTAAGAAGATATGAAAGAGAGTACTTAAAAAGGTATATATAAAGATAGATGGCGAAAAAACATCATCTTTAAAAGATAGATAATGAACATCATCTAACTATGGTCTGACCACCGTAAGAAGATGATTGAAAAATAAGCATGGTACGAGAACATTAGTTAAAATAGGAGTTGTATAGAAACGTATTTAAGGAAATGTATGATAAGCAGGGAAAAATATTATAAGCTGATATATATGCTGAAGAATTATCACTTCAGGCCAGTGATAATTCTTCAGCATATTTAAATTACCGTATTCAAGTTTATTCTACGAAGATCAATCATGCGGTGTCAGGATTATAATTAACTACAAACCCTTTCCGTTGCAATACAAATAACAGAGTGGCAGATATAAGCAGGTTTTTTTCCATTTTACCTGGGTTAAGTAAACTAATATATATANTATATATATATATATATATATACTCATGGACAAAACAATTAGCGCCCCTTAGCTTGATGCGCAATAGCTTGGTGCGCTAATTTTTTTGTCCATGAGTGTGTCTATATATTCCAAACGATTCCATGCGAATTACTGAAACTTCGAGCATTAATTATCAAGAAAGTCATGACTTGTTTTATGCTTATGGTCTTTGTCTTTAGTTGTCAATTTGTGATGGATTCATATTTTTATCTTTACAGCTGAGCTACATTGCTGCACACTATAATAACCCATCTTTTTTGTTAGGATTACATTTCTGAACCACCATTGCTATATAATCTCTGTGTGTGTGAGTCGTCTACTTTACTTATACATAGTTATAACCTGACTCGCCGAGTTATATTACCCTTCCTAGAAATTTGTTCTTCTAGTTTTTAATTGTCCTTCATATTTTTTAATACAACAAATAAAAATCTTTAGAGTCATACTATTGAGGTTAGAAAAAGGGAATCTACTGTTTTGTTGTAGTACTGAAATTTGTGAAAGTTGAAACTGCGAAGCTACTTAAATTTTCATTTTCTTCATCCCAACCAGTTCTGCATAAGCTAGATTTGGTTGTTAAGAATCAAATTATCATTGTGCCTAGCTAACTGATAGCACGTCGGAATAAGTTTTACTTCAAAACATGTTTCGCATATTTCAATATTAAATGCATTGAACTGCAGTAGGATGCATACCGAGAGAAAAATTGTCGGAATTACAAATAAAATTGAACAGCTGAGCCAAAACTGGTATTTGTAAATAGTACTTGTCTGTATCATTAAGCATTACAAATGATACGTAGTATACCAAAACCTGTGATAAGTGCTGAATGTGTTCATAATGCTCCGTTATTGAATGTAATAAAAAAGTTAACACCCAGAGTAACTTTTGATCTACTGATCATATCTTCACGTAATAGAACTCAAACTTAATGGTTAGATAGTCTAACCTTAAGAAATATGCTAATCAATTAATGCAGACACTATTTTAAGAGACACAAACGGACTCTTTAAGAGACACAAACGGATTTTTCTCGACGGATTCAATTTCTTGACCCTCCCCTAATGTTAATTTATAGTGTGTAGATTGAGGCTAAAGCTCACTTCGGGGGGAGGGTGTTAATTTCAGATATTCATATTGGGCCAAAATCACATTTAAAAAAAAGAACGGTTTACAGCTTGCTGTATTCAATTACTTAGGAACGGGCCTCTAAGTTTAAACAATAATTTATAAAAGTTGAATGTAGAAATAATTAATAATAATTAAACCTTAGAACAGTGGGCCTTTGATCTTCAGTTCAAATTTCCACTGAAAGTATTCATGTCTTAATATTAGGGGGACTGGAAAGTAATGTCGTTTCGGCGAATTTAATATTTATTGTCAGGATTTTATTTTTAATTAATAATGTATTCACCCTCGTTAGCAACAAGCTTTCAATGCCGGATCGAAAATGGATCGAAAAAAATGAATTGGTTTTTATGACTAACGAATATTTAATGCGCCGAAACGACATTACTTTCCAGTCTCCCTAATAGTAATGTGTGGAAGTATGTAATTGAACACAAAAAAAAAATGGTCAAAGCCGTGGTTCACTCATTTAACTGCACATATATAGGGTATTTTCAAGAAATTTCAGAGGATCTTCAGTTTCCCAAAAGCCTTGAGGAAAAAAAAAACTTTTTGTCAATAATAAAAAATACATGTCTAATTTACATAAATAATATATCCTGAAAATTTCGACAAAATCAGAAATGTCAACTATCCATCCTTGCCAGCTTTGTCCGGTTTTTAAGAAAACTGGCTCTTAAATCATGCCTGATGTCGATAAAACTCTACTTAGAGGCTGCGATGAACATTAAATGCCTGATAGTAATATTCATTTATCCCAGAACTAACAATGAAATTATGGATATTTGGAAGAAACTAAAGTATTTTCAATACTGAAAGCTCATTTTTTATTATAAAAATAATACGAAGGACTATTAATCCAGCGAACCTTTCTTTGCCATAGATGTAACCAATAGAAAATTGATAATCGTATCTAAGTACTATAAAAAAATATTTTCAGAAAAAAAAAAACCGTTAATATTTTTTCAATGTTATTAACCCTTTGATGCAGAATTTTCATTTAACATATTTTTCAATATTTTATATTAATTTAGGTCAAAATAATTTAAAAATATTATATTTAGCATTTTAATAAATTATGGTTATGAAATATGGCATGAAACAGTTAACATTGATAACATTTAACATGAAGCATTGTTTTATCCGCATTAAAGGTAAAATCTTACAGAAACGGCTGACTTCAAAGCAATAATTTTTCAATTTTTTACTTATTTCCGCTTATTTAGAAGAAAAAAAAGTTATTCATCATTGAAATTTCTTTAATTTATCACATCAATTTTTGATAAATTTTTGAATAAGAATGGAAAAAAAATACTGTCTACTTTTTTTTGTATTTCATAGTTTGGTACAAATATAATTCCGATAATCTCACAAATTTTTTAGTAACTATTAGATAGTTTTTTTAATAATAAAAAAATACCAAAATTTATTTTTACTTGTAATTAGAGAGTCAGGAAAAATCAATATGAAAGGGATTTTAGTGTACCATTTACGTCAAAAGGTTAACACTTTATTTAATATTTATAACTTATTAATATATTATCAAATAAAGTTATCTTCCAAATATATGGTTTTATAATGTGTTACTTTAAAACGGAGAGAATACAAATTTAGTCTGTAGTTATCAATAATTTACTTTCAACATAGGTTAATCTCGTAAATAAAAGCATTTTATTGGTGTGAAACACACACTTATAAGTGTTAATAAAAATTTTCAAATCATATTTCATAATATTTTGAGTATTGTACAATAAATTGACCTAAATAATTATTGTTTATTATAAATAGCCTAAAAGTTTTTGTTATGTAACATAAAAAAATAATTTCTCATAAAAATGTCTAGTATATATTTTCCATTTGAGCTCATAAAATAGATAGGTTTTTAATCAAAACGTCTAATATCGTATTGTTTCATATACGAATTGCAATATTACTTTTTTATATTTATGCATTTTAATTTTTAAAAAAATGAAAAGTATTTACTGGTTTTTCAAAGTATTCAAAATCTTTATGAAATGAAAAGTTTTGTTTTAACTTGTGAAATATAGGATAAATATTCGTACCTGATTTAAAACCAAATGAAGTGCTGAATATTTTCATAAATAATAGGTTATGTCTATTTATACATATTTTATAATTGTTTCTCAATTTTTTAAACAAATTAATGAATTCCTTGATGATGCAGAAACTGTTTAGTTTTTAATTTAGTTCACAGAGGGAATATTTTTACTATTCAAACTAACATTACGTGAACAAAATGCACGAAAATCGGAATTAACAAGTTTAGATAAATCCGGAAGATTTCTCGTGTACTTTCCCAAATTTTCCCTGATAATTACGCCTGATAATGTTACCTGCTTCTTCTACTAAGTTCTTCATTTATGTAATTTGTTTGTCACATTCCTTTGCAATTTCACCAATTACAACAGTTTTTCAGATCATAATCACGGCGTTTTGCAATATTTTGATAGTTAACACTCTTCTTTTTTTTTTTTTTAAGAGTACACGTTATCCAGTAGCGAAATAACACATTTAAATTAGAACCAAAAAAAGCAAAAAAGCAATTTTTAATTGAAACCTTCTCTTTATGATGTATTATTGTATTTCTATCAACGTTATTGTATTTCTATCAGTTAAGCCTAATTAGAT